GCTCACGCTGGCTGCTGGCTACACACGGTAGCCCATGGCAATCCACTGCAGCAGGGGCTGCAGCCTACGCCGTCGCTGGCGACTCACGGCAGCCCAGCTCTAGGTTGAGCTGTTGTTCAGCATCTTAGCTGTAGAGGACAGTGTCACTGGCCCTCATATGTGGGATCCGAACCGGGGCCCTCAAGTGTCCCAAGCCAGTTCTTAACCATCGCGCCACCCGGCTGGCCCCAGGGTAAGATACTTTTGAAGCCAGTTTATTGTGCCTTTCCTTAACTGACCTTGTAAGCTCTTTAAATACAAATGCAATTTATCTTATAATACTCAATATTCAAACTGAACTTTTAATTCAATTAAGCGTGCCTACAGAATAAAGTTTTCCTTCAAATAGTGTACAAGTCTTATTTGTCCAACCTAATTTCCTGTCTCTACTTCTTATTTAGAACTTTAACAATCTGAAGTTGATTCTATTATCTTGAAAATGCATGGTGTTTTAAGCCTCCATGCTTTTCCTATTATTGTCTCAGATATACCTTGTGCCACCTTACCATTTTGACTAAAACTTTAACTGTATCCATCAAAAGTCAACTTAGAGTCACTTACTTTGCTCTTTTTGGACAGTCCCCACAGGAACCTCTTCTAAGATATGGCTCCCTTCTTTGCTATTATAGTGGTTAAGAGCATAGACTCCAGAGCCAATCTCCTACACCTTAAATTCTAGTTCAGCCACTCATTAGTTGTGTGACCTGGGGAAGTTAATTAACCTCTCTGAATATCACAGACCTCATCTATAAAATGGGGATAACAGTAGTTCCAACCCATGGGGTTGCTATAAACATTAAACAAATATATATGTGTATATAACTATATATTAATGTACCAAAATAGATATATAGCTTATGACAGTATCTAAAATGTAGTATAATATGTATACTATGTATACTAATATGTATACATGGTATAATATTACATACTATAATAGTGAACATTTATAGATGTCTGTCTTTTCTACTAAAGTACTAAAATTCTTTGAACACAATGGTGAAATTTTAATTAAAGTTTTTATATAAAACAAAAACAAATAAGCAAAATTTCCCCACTTCTAGTTTCATAAGATCTAATGATTATCTTTACAATGATTTTTAAAAGAATTACCAGTTTATGTTATACAGTAATGAAATCTATGGATTAAGTTGTAGAGTGACTTCATATATATTAAAGAGATAACACAGGTAAAGGTTATTTAAAAACTGAAGTGCTATGCAAATATAACATGGCATCATTATTAAATTCAAACATTAATCATTAGTGCAGACTGATCTATGAATTATCAAGTAGTCCTGATATTCTATTTCTTCATTAATTTCCTTCCATGTATGTTCAAGTCATTTCAAGAAAGAAATAGGATATGCATAAAGTTTCAAAATATAAAAACCAAAGTTACTAGAAATCTCTAAATAATTTGTATATAGAAAAATATAGACATTCCAATATCAGATAGACTATACAGATAAAACATTCTTACCTTATCATCTGAGGAGGTGTAGTTACCCACAGCTACCCACATCTTACTGGCTACTGTTGCTGCTTGTTTCATACCAGATTTCAGAACATCTATCTTGGGCCCTGAGAGTATATTATCCAGCTTTAGCCCTGACAAAGAATTTACCACAGAACCCAGTGAGCCATGTGGTGAAGAACGCATCAGGGCTGATAACGAACTTGAACGGTCTTTCGGACCTCGAGAGGGAGTTTGCTGCTTGAAACGCGCAGTAAAAGTTTTAGACCTAGACACTGCAGGGGATCTCTTTTCACTTTCGGAATTTTCCTCCGCTGGTGGACTATGATCTAAAGGTAGGCTTGATCTCCTCTCTAAAGGGTGAATAAATGCAGTAGTAGTGCCAGGCTCTCTGTTTCCCTCTCCATGTAATTCCATACTAGAAGACTTGCTACCCAGGGGACTCTTTAGGTTCATATAGCTTTCGATTTCATCAGCCAAATTACGTGCAATCACTGGAGAAAACGCTTTATCTTCAGAATCAGAAGTTTTTTCTCCTGTACATTCAGTGGCTAAAAGAGACAAAGGATCTAGTCCAGTTTCAACATCTTCCCTCTCAACAGCTTTAGCAGCACCATATAAACTACTTCTTTTACTTATCAGATCTTTGGATCCTGCTGTCAAGTCTCTGGGCTGACTACTGTTACTGTCATTTTGTAGACTGTCATGTGTATCCTCTGTCATAGTAGTTTCAGCTACACTGTCATCAACCACAGGTTCTAGGAGCTCCTGGCTTTCCTCAAGCATCTCTAAGACAGAAGATCTGTGCTCAGAATCCCAAGTGCTTTCGGACACACGAATCCTAGTATCAGCTAAATGACAGCTAACACTCTCAAAGCTGTAGGTTCTTGGAATATGAAGTGGAGAAGTCTTCGGACACGTCAATGCTGCCGTGAGAATCTTGGCATCTGCTCCCATCATGATGGCCATTTCACTTGAATTCAGATCCAAGCTGCTCTTCTTAAGCAACATTCCTGCTCGACTTTCAGAACTAAAACTACAACTCCTCTCTGGGAAATGCTTTTGTCTTTTTTCTCCTCTATCACCATTCTTGAGATTAGTAACTTCGCCAAAGACTGCATCTTCCACTGGATCTTGAGTAGAAAACAGCACATTTGATGTACTACCTAAAAGGGAAAGTACAATATTAAAAATGAATCTCTGTTTTCTGATGTAACTTTTATTAAAAAGTTTATTTTCTGATTTTTTGAAAGTGACACATACTCAAAAGATTCAGAAAGTTTAGAAGGTAAAAACAAAGTACAGAGAAAAAAGTACAAAAAAACTTCATTCAACCCTGCCTCCCAGAGATAACATTTTAATGTTTAATCTGCCTTTCATCGTCTATGCAATTACATACACACCTAAAAAAAGATCATGCAATATACGCTATATGTACCTGTACTGTTCACTAAAATATATCACATTTATCAATATAGATCTATATTTTAAACATTTAAGAGTTTTACATTCATTTTAAGAAATCATTCTGCATTAATTAAACAACCTCTTGTTATCCTAGCTTTCGTATCTCTAATTCAACAAATATTTGCCAGGAACCTACTCTGCACAAAGCAAATTCATAATCATGGAGGAATTATGTATTTGCTATAGGCAAAGCCTTACTGTTCCAAAGTAAAATATCTGCCCCAAAGGAAAGAAACTAGAATACAGTGCTTAGAACTGGCAAACTCCAAGAAGGCTGATCAAGTATGAGTAGCTAAAAACTTTTTGGATATTCTTTCCTTCAACAAACATCTCAATGCCTACTAGCATCCAGTAAGTGAGGTACCAGGAATACACCTGCAAAGAAAACAACATGATCCCAGCCCTCACAGATCAGTCTTGTTTGATCAAGTAGAACAAAATTATGCCAGTGGCTGTAGGAACGCCCAAACCCACCCTCACCCCACCCCCCACTTTGGGGCAAGCAAGCAGTCTTTTACTCTCTGCTACCATGCAATTTTTCCCACTCCAAAACCAAAGGCTTTTTCCTACTGGAATCGCTGTCCAAACTTGAGTCTATCCATTCATATTTAAGATTTTAATTTCTTTTTTTAAAAGCATAACGACCTCGGAGATTTGGGGGAAAGTCTTTGATAAGGTCTTTTTTTAATCTTCCAAATTGATTTCAAGCTTTTTAATCTTCCAAATTGGTACCAACCAATAATCAGAATCATACCAATTAAACAGAACTAATAATAAGCATTTAGAGATCTTTTTAAAGCTTTTAGGGGAATTATGTTAGCCTACTTTACAACTCCAAAATTTATACCTGCTTTAAAAACTTTTGCCAATATTTTAGGAACAGATCTTTGTAAATTTACTGGTTCTCATAGTATTTCTAGGAATTTAGTGGCACATTTTGTTCAATTTTAAAATACATTTGACTATTTGATATATTGGCAAAAACCCCATTACCAACTCACTCTTTCTTTTTTAAAGATTTTTATTGGGGAATTGGGGGGATGGGAACAGACAAGTTGCTGTCGTTTTTTGTTCTTCAGTCTAGTTGTGGAGGACGTTGTTTCACTGGCCCAAGTTGGCACCATCATTGCGCTCTTCCCGGGCAAGGCAGATCAGTCGCCGGATTCTGGACGGCCGCTCACTGCGGCTGCTGGCCGCTCATGCTGGCTGCTGGCTACACACGGTAGCCCATGGCAACCCACTGCAGCAGGGGCTGCAGCCTACGCCGTCGCCGGCGACTCATGGCAGCCCAGCTCCAGGTTGAGCTGTTGTTCAGCATCTTAGCTGTAGAGGGCAGTGTCACTGGCCCTCATATGTGGGATCCGAACCGGGGCCCTCTGGCATCCCAAGCCAGTTCTTAACCATCGTGCCACTCGGCCGGCCCCCAACTCCCTCTTTCTTAATAGAATAAGTCTTCCTAGATCAAGATGTAATATGGAAATGAGTCAAAAGGGAAGGAAACACACCAGTCTTCAGACCATGTGCATTTCAATAGTCCGAGAAGATTCTAAACATCTGATTAAGAAAACTCTGCCTTCCTTTTTTTTAACCTGGTATTAACAGGTTGGGAAAATGGTATACAGAACATAAATATCAATTATTTTTTTCAAAAAACTTTAGTCCTCCTGAGCACTACCTCCCACCCAAAAAATACAGTGAACTTGGCATCACAGTAAAATAAAAAAATTAGAATCAAGAAAGACTAGGAATAAATATTTCTACATGATTTAAAAAGCTGGGCAAATTAATTTCTATTAAGTTTTATAACAGATACACTTACAGACAAGACAGTCTACTTTAGAGAAGTGAACTGTAGCTACTAAGGGAAGGCGCAGGACACAGACCAATTTCATTGTCCTTGAAAACCACCTACTTAGATTTGTGCCTTAAGGGTACTTGGGAGACTACAACAGAACTGAAAGTAGTAAACTCAAATTCCGGGCAGCCACACATAACAGATATTCATTACAAATACTCAATCACAAATAAAAAGCCACTCAGGGTGCTTATAAGAACTGGGCCGAAATTAAAGACCCACCGGTATTCTGTGTACAGAGTAAGTGATGTCATTCTTTTTTTCCACTTCCCTTCAGGGACAGGAATTAGCCCATCACACATCAGGCCTCTGGAATTTGAGCAAATCATTGCCTCTCTGTCCCTGATGAGTACAGGAAGCCCTACAGTCATGTCTCATTATCTACCATGAGAAAGTGGGACCAAACTGAGAACAGGCACTAAAAGGTATTCCAAACACCAACTAAACACTCTAAATAGCCTTCCTTTGAAAAATTAAATATCTTTAAACAACAACTACTTTAATTTCTTCTTTAGCCCATTTATAGGATTTAAACTTACCTCTGACTCTTCAGCATGTTCATTACAATTAAATCAACAATTTAATGTCATTAAAGACACATGTATAAAAGCACAAGTATATTTTAAATATTTAATAACTAATATGTAAAGACTCACCAGTGCTACTTTTCCTGCCGCTGACATCAAATACACCGGATGGCACTTTCACAATACTGCTGCCCCACGCAGGAGGCTCAGTGGGACTCTGCGGCTCTCCACTGGGTTGTGAATGTTTTGTCACAACAACAGAGACATCACACACCTCTGGGAAAAAACATTTGGAAGTTATTATTCCTACTTTTGCCAATATTGAACAGAAACCATCTATTGATTTTAATACATTCTATGTAGCTTTTTCCCCCAAGTGAGAGTGACTATATGACTATTTTATTACTGATTTATTATGTCTGGCTTACTTTATGCCATAAATGTTGCCAGTAATGACTAAAATAAAAGCTTTATTTTAGCATTTAATAATCCTAACAGGAGCACGCCTGAGTAAAAAATTAAAGCTTTGGCCTTCAGTTATGCTCCTCATTACTCGTCAACAGGACAGGGACTTGCTTGCTTCTGTATAACTCTAGAGCATAAAGTGACATCATTGAAGAAAGTATACTTTTGTGTAAAAAGATAGGAAGAACCTCTTATTACCATAAAGCCAAAACAGTCCCTCATATTTCCATAAAATGATTATTACAAATCATTTTTACCTCAATGAGTTCCATAAAAAACAAACAAACAAAAACCAGGAAACAACAAAGACTACTTTAACCCACCAATGAAAAATATCCATTTAGATATTTGAAGGACATGTAGTGAAAGCATTTTAAAATAAAAGGGAACTAGAATACAAGTTTGATGACTCAAAGTTTCGTCTGGATTCTGTCACAAAGTAGCTATATACCATTGGCAAATGAATACTTTAAAGGGTCACAGTTTGCTACAAAATTGAAAGCCGACCTACAAGGTCTCTAAAGGTCTCAAATTTTAAAATTCAGAAACTACCAAAGTCTACCATATATAACAATACAAAGTATTTTATAAACTCAGACCTTACATTTCCAGAAATTATCACCAAAATTATCAAATAACACCTTTAATTAATATTTTTCTAAGTAAAGCTAGAAAATATGAGTACTTAACCTTCTGTTTGCACTTTCGTTTTAGTTATCAATTCTCTTGTTACTGGTTCTTCAGGCACATGAATTTCTGCATCATCCTTTACAAGTTCATCCTTAGACCCATAGCCTTGGTCAGACTGACCACCTACAAAAAACAATTCAGGCTTACACAGCAATGCTTTCATATACTTATAGTTCAGCTATAAAATGTCAAAAGACAATTCCACTGATGTACACAATTAAACTTCGAGAAAAAGAAGACAAGCAAGCTTACAAAGCGCACAAAACATTTTAAAACAAGGATAAGCAAAAGAACAGGAGAAATGGGAACATCAATGACTAAAACCCATCACACATTTGAAAGCACTGGACCTTAATTTCCTCATCTGTAAATTAATAGTCTTAGACAAGATGTCTTGAGAAGTTTCTTTCGGAGTGTGTCTATAGAATGCTATTTTTTGTGTAAGAAGAGGAAATAACACAAACATATTTCTGCTTACTTTTACAAAAAGAAATGCAGGAATAATAAACCAGAAAACAAGAAAACTAGTTCCCTACAAGGTGTGGTGTAAAATAGGATGTAAAGAATAGAGAGGAAACTTCTCTAAATATGGCTTGTCATATTGTTTTTATTTTGGGAAATGTATTAACTTTTACATATTCAAAAAAAATAAATCAACAGAACAAGGGGTTGGGGGAGGGGAGTAACTAGAATGCAAATAGAAACAAATGAAACCAACTATATTTCATGACTAACAACCATGTTAGGATCGGGAAGGACTAAGCCAAGTAACTTTGGCACACATTATTTTGAGTATATACTCTAAGCTGGGCGGGGGAATAGTTAAATCCTAAACTTCTTAGGTTTGTTTCTCACAGGGGAATGGGTGTAGCAATTCTGAAATTATTTTATGTGTAGTGTAGGACTGAGCAAATGAGTAAATGTAATGATATTTTGGGGAGGCAAGATTCTTACTGGAGAGGAGAGATTTTTTAAAAATGGAATGAAGGAAGGCAAAGAAAAACCCATGGGGTTGATTTGGAATTAGAAGTATTTCTACAATATACATACATATGTTCTAGCTCTGCTGAAAAAGTCTAGAAGCAGTAACACCTTGGTAACAGTAAGCACCTCTAGAACTCAGATTTTGGTTTCTAAAAATCTATTGCTCATTAAAAGGAACATAGGATCCTTAAAGAAATGGTTGAATCCAGAGCTCAGGCAGGGAAGGTATAAGTCTGGAACATTTTATTGTACAACAAAAGAAAGGAGGTGCTCAAGAACATGATGGAGGCATGAATGCCTAACAGACATACAACAGAATACAATCTTATAAATGTGGAGGGAGGATAGGGTTGGCAAAGCCACCACTTTATAACCATCATAGCAAAGATTGGTTCAGGCAAGAATCATCCATGGATGCTAAATTTAAAAGAGAAAGTGTGACGAGAAAGAGGATATTATTGTACAGTCTCATACTGTCTTCTCACAAATACCTTATTATCTGCAAGGGGGGATAACAGTACCTAAGAAAAACCAAACACTGAGACCAGTGATCAAAATTAACATCGCCAATGCGGGGCTGACAGACACTGTGTGCCTCTGCGATGTGATAATCTGAGAAGGAAACAATATCACTTTGTAGTAGAGTCATGGATGCATAACCTAATCTAATCACATGGAAACATCAGACAAGCTCAAATTGAGGAGAATTCCACAAAATAACTGGACTGAATTCTTCAAAAAGGTCAAGGTCATGAAAGACAAAGAAAAAAAAAAAAAGGTGAGGAACTGTGCCTGGTTGAAGGAGACTAAAGAGAGGGAGTTCAAGCACCACAAAGGACATTACAATATTTGACAAAATTGGAATATAGACTATAAGGCAGTTTATCAATGTTTTCCTGAATTTGGTAACTATACTGTGGTTATGTAAGAGAAAATACCACTGAAGTATTAAGAGGTAACAAAGCAAGATGTATGCAACCTGCTCTCTCACACGATTTAGAAGGAAAAAATATATATATGCTTATGTGTACAGAAAGAAAACGATGAAGCAAATGTGGCAAACTAAACGTGAGTGAATCTAGATAAAAGTTATTCAAGAGTTCTCTGTACTATTCTTGCAATATTTCTATAAGTTTGAAAGTATTTCAAAATGAAGTTTTTTAGAAGTCTATTTTGGCTTTAAACGTCTATCATTTACTAGAGAATCCTTTTATAAAGGATGTCAATGAAAAACACAATAAAAAATATAGTGTCTTATATTTTCTACTACCACTTGTTACACTGCCACTCAAACTTTGGATTTGCCATATAATAAAAGAACTCAACTTCTTTACATACTGCTATTTAGAATGACTAACTTCAATCACATTTTTATTGACCCCCTCAGAAAGTCTGGTAAAGCACTGTGGTGCCATGAAAAGACACTAGACTGGAAACTGAGTAAACTGATTAAACCCAGATATGCTTTCCAGCAAGCTAAGGGACTCAGTATCAGGTATCAACTGGAAAGATTCTACAAGATAGTCCTTAATGAAAAGAGTAACTTCAGCATCTGGGCTGCAAGTCTCCCAAAGTATCAAATGACATCACCAGAAACTCCACAGAGATGAATAATCACTGTAAATTCAGTACTGGGGCTTCAGCCTTTTGAAATGCAGCTGAAATACAGTAAAACTTTGAATTGCGAGTAACATGGTATGCAAGCGTTCTGCAAAACAAGCAAACATTTCTAATACATTTTAAGGTGGTAAACGAGCAATGTCTTGCAATACGAGTAGTTTGTTTCCGGAACAAATTATGCTTACAAACCAAGATATTACTGTGTATGGAAAAGGGAACTGAAGTTTCTTCCCCAACTATTGGAGTCTTTATGCCAATTATCCAGGATTACTAGGAGATCATTTTCTTCTATTAATGGAGACAAGTTTTAAATCTAGAGGGATAAGGAGAGTATTTATCTATTATTTATTATTATTATTCCTGGTGAAATGGTTTCACATCACAAAATTATTTTCTTGGTTTTTCATATATGAAATCCATTTCTTTTATAAATGTCAAAAAAAATACAGGAGGAAATAAAATAAGGTGGCTTTAAAATTAAAGTTTCATAAAAATTCCTACTTGATAAAAGAAAATTAATATACAAACAGGGCTATAACTTAGTCTTATGTTGATCTTCAATGATTTGTACATGCTTCTGTAATTATGGGGGTGATTTTTAGCATAAGAATTCAGCATATCAGTTTTAGCAAGCAAAAACCACCTCAACAGCTAGAACACACAAATTTTTAACGCCTATAAAACTATCTGACACAATACTATAAACCAATCTCAAAATAAGAATTATAGCAAAGCATACCATGTTTTCAAATAAGATAACAAATATGCCTGCAAACTGATCATCAAATGTTAGTTGGACATTTTCAGTAGTACATCATATGTGATTACACTTATTTGAAGGAGACCAAGTGAAGAAAACCAAAATTGTTTTCCACTGGTAACAATGCTTAAAATACAAGATGTCTCTCCCCCACCCTTGCACGTCAGCAAAATTTAACCTAAGAAATGGGAAATTACCTGAAGTGGTTAACATTCAAAGGTAGAATTAATGCACACGTGTATCCATGGCTTCCCGTCATACAAGTCTGTCTGCACCCCCACACCATGACAGCCAAGGACAAATGCAGCACCAAGAAACAGCACAGACCAAAAGCAGAGCAACAAAGGCAGAGAAAGGAAACTTCAGTCATTGAGACAAGTTCATCAGATGGAGCACAGGAACAAGACTCAGAATTCTTTTTAAAGAAAAGTTTGAGATATTAACAATAACAATAAAAAAGAAAAACAACACAAGAAGAAGGATGTGCAACACACATGTATCTGCTCAATGTGCTCCTTTAATCACCCTTATTCTTACCTTCAGGGGACAGAGTTACGCCTATAAGTTTGTACACAAAGTAGCCTCAGTAGTTTCTCAGATTTTAAAAAGTGTCATTTAAAGTAATGACTATGCAAGGAGAATACTTTTTTCATAGTATGTGGCTTACTTTCCTCCCTCTTCAATAGTCATAACCTCAAATCTTTAATAAATTATTTCCCACTTAATGAAAAAAAAGATTTGCAAGTTGTCACTAATATTCGAGTTCCTCAGCTCACAATTATATGATATACTTTCACAAATTAACGATGAACAAAAATACAAAGAAGCTCCATGCTAGAGCCTTGTGCGCTGCACTCCAAAGGTAATTTATACTACAGGAAATAAAGAGAAGTGAGCTGCAACCAGAGGTATTCTTATTATATACAGCATTTTTGAAGTACTCATATTGCATAAACTAGAGAAAGGAGGTAAAAGTGTTTTAAAAAAGGAGAAGACAACATGAAAGTAACTGAATGGTCTGTAAAACCCAGATCTAGTACCTGTGCTGGAGTGATTATCAGTGGAATCGAGGCTGATTAAATCTCTGACGAAGACGGTGTGCTCTCCACTGTTAGCATCATTAGAACTGTCCACGCTGCCATGGCTCACCGTGTCCCCGTCACTTCCACCTGTGGCATTCTGAGGAGCTAAAGACAAGAACAACAGCAGTTCAGTAACTCATGCACTGATAACCTCTGAACTAAACAGGAATGACCCACAATTCATTTAAAGTTGCAGAACACTTTCTAAATTAGTGGGGGGAACCATTTTTGGACTAAGGTAATCTCTGTTTTTAGTTGTATATAAAAAAATCAACCAGAATTTCATTTAAGTTTTCTACTTACTATAATTAAAATTCATATACCTATAAAGCTTATGGTTTAGCAAGAAAGTATCTTTCCAATCACATGTATTACCTGATATTGAGGAGACCTGTGACTTTTGCACAGTCTTTTTAAGCGGCTGCCTAAATTGTGCCAAGCCATGTACCACATTCCGTACCTTCGTCCATAAGAAGATACCACTGCGGGTACTGCGAGGCCACGGGCTCTCCAAAACTACCTAAAGGTAAAAATAATGATTACTAGAAATAGTTGATTTTTGAAAATACGTAAACATATATAATACATATATAAAAATTATACCCCAAAACCTCTAAAAGAAAGTATGTATAAAAAAATTATCAATCTTAATAAGCAGCATATATTGCCCAATGTCAATCCTACTTACCTTATTATAATAACCATAAGTAATGGCATTTGGCTTTATGTTAGCAGTTTTCATTTCAAATAAAACTCTCACTGCTAAAACAGGATGACACCAAAGTCCACAAAGCTGCATTACTACTCGATAGCACACCTAAGAAAACATAACATCAAAGCATTAGCAGTTAGCATATTAGTCCATTTGTGACTTGTAGAGGTTTTTCTTTAAATATTTTATTGGGGAATTGGGGGAGGGGACCAGTCAAGTTGTTGTTCTTCAATCTTCATTGTGGAGGACGCCAGTCGCCATCTGGCTTCCTGTAGTCAGCTCACGGCCTCTAAGCTCAAGGTGCTGTGTTCAATCTTAGTTGCAGGTGGGCGTAGCCACCATCCCATGTGGGAGTCGAACCAGCAGCCTTGCTATTAAGAGCACATGATCTACTACTGAGCCATCCGGGCAGCAGCTCAGCTCAAGGTGCCAAGTTCAGTCTTAGTTGCGGGTGGGCAGAGCCCACCATCAAACAGGCAATCTTGTTGTTGTTACATCAGCTGAGCCATCCCGCCACCTGTTGGCAGCTCAGCAACAGCTCAGCTCAGGCGCAGCATCACTGGCCCATGTGGGAATCAAACCGGCGGTCCTGTTGCTCAGAGCTCGCGCTCTTAATCCAACTCTTAACCAACTGAGCCACTCAGCCGGCCCACTTGTAGAGATTTTTAAATGATGTTACCCAATTCTTCAAAGTTATTAAGCACTACTTTCTCCTTTGTTCTGGTTTGAGAGTCTCAAAAAATTATTTTTAAAACCTATTCATTAATGGAAGTATCAGCATTATTAACTATTTCACATAAGACCTATATGCATGTATGCCATTTGTTTCAGTAACTAAGTTTACACAAAGAGAATGGCTATTATTCTCTATAATTTGAGAAAGAATTCATTTTTAAAATCATGTATGATTAAAAATTGCTGTCTCCAAATTCATGTTTTATATTCTATAGCAAAGGAATTAAAGACAGCATTCTCCAGTGTGCCTACATAACAAAAAAATTCTGTAAACCCAAGTCTTAAAAGAGTATGAAAAGAAAGTTAAAAACACTTTAATATAATTAGTAAAGGGTTTTCTAAGGGTATGTATTTACCAAGGGGGGCTAGATTTGATCATAAGAGGACAAGTCAATTGGGTACTCCTAGAAGTTAGAATCTCACATATTTAGAAACGATAGAAGAAACCATGAAAAATGAAACAAGAATCTCAAGGATCCCTGGCAAAGAGGTGAGCCAGGGTCGGCCGAGTGGCTCAGTTGGTTAAGGGCACAAGCTCTTAGCAACAGGGTCACTGGTTCAATTCCCACATGGGCCAGTGAGCTGCGCCTGAGCTGAGCTGCTGCTGAGCTGCCAACAGGTGGCAGGATGGCTCAGCTGGTGAGAGCACATGCTCCTAACAACAAAGTTGCTGGTTCGACTCCCATGTGGGTGAGCTAGGCCCACCCATAGCTAAGACTGAACACGACGCCTTGAGCTGAGTGGCCAGATGGCTACTGGACTTGGAGCTGAGTTAGCTGTGCCCTCCACAACTAAGACTGAAGGACAACAACTTGGCTGTTCCCCTTCCCCAATTCCCCAATAACATCTTAAAAAAAAATTTTTTTTTTTTAAATAAAAAGAGGTGCACCAGTTTACAGAAGTAGTGACAGGGCAGCCAGACTTATTTATAATAAATAAATAGCTTAATTTGAGAATAAAGAAATATGCATATAGAAGACACTCTCCTTGGAATTTGGAACATGTGCTCTGTTTATGACAGAGTTGGTCAACAACTGTACATATAGTAAAGCCAAGCCGCTATTTCCACTGAAGGGGAAATTAAAGATTTGAGAAAGGGTGTTTTACTCAAGAGAACAGAAGAAATAAAATATAAAAAGAAATTTGAAGAGGCAGAGATCATAAAGATGAGTACCATGAAGATAGAAATGCAGAGTATAATTTAAGAGCAAGAGGAGGCAGAAACTGTTAGAGGAACTCTGTAAGTGATTAGGCTAAAAACATTCTAGCAAACAATACATGAATTAGGAACAACTGAAGGAACTAGGTAAGATGTATGAAGGGATGAAGAATGTGACAAAAGAGGGTTCTTCAGATATCTGAAGAGTTGTCACACAGTTTGCACAACTCCAAAAAGCCACAGGGAGGCAGAACTGATCTCTACATGAAACACACACGCTTAATAACAATTAGAGCCAATTTAAACATAGGCAAGAACTCATGTTACAAACTCTACAGAGCATCTCAGCTTTAGGTTGAAGTTGTATTAAAATATCTTCAAGTTCTATTCAACTATAAGGAAATCATTTTCTTTTGGGATTAATCTGAATTTTTTCCAAAACGATTCTAGACAATGAATTTATTCTGAAGTCTGCAAAGTGTTCCCTCAACCTTCCTGTTTACCTACATAGGAGCCAGGCACCAAACTAAAAAATGGTAATAATGCCAGAGATATCATTTTCCCACTGTAGTATTTTGTTGCCTGCAACATGGTATCTTTTGGACATCTGTGGTAGACAAAAGACGGCCACCAATTCAGTGCTGCTCCTCCCACTGAGAGGTCGAAGTGAAGTGAAGTGAAGTGAAGTGAAGTGAAGTGAAGTGAAGTGAAGTGAAGTGAAGTGAAGTGAAGTGGCTTATGAGATTACATGACCAATTGAAACTGGCTGAAGTGAGACTGTACCAGTTTCCAGGCTTAGGACTTAGGAAACTGCCAGTTTCCACTTCCTCTCTATCGAAACAAATGCTCTTGGAGCACAGCACTAAGCTATCACGAAAGAAGCCCAAGTACCACATGGAGAGGTCCTGAGGCTATATGGAGAGAGAGCAGCCCACCTGAGTCCAGCCTGCCAGTCAACCTTGTTGAGGTACCTGGCTGGCATTTGAGTTAAGTGTCCTGGACTCTCCAGACCAGACCAGCTAACAACCAACTATAACCAAGTGATTTCAGCTAATGGAAAAAGCAGAAAAGTCACCTAGAATCCTTCCTGGGTTCTTAGCAAATAGAGATTTAATAAAATGGCTGTTTTAAGCCGCTAAATTCTGGGGTGGTTTGTTACTCAACAATATACAACAGTATCTGTTACACTGAGAGACACTGTAGGAACAAGCATGACACATATATTTAATTTTCATTAAAAATTCAGTAAATAATATTAAAAGCCCAAGTATTAAATGCAAAATGCATTTTAATTTTAATTCAGCCTAGGTTGCATAGTGTTATTTCTGGGCCTTCTAAAAGTTTTATTTTAAAATCTAGGTTATTACAACTTTTACAAAGTTAAAACACATCTTAAAATACATCTTAGATATAAAAACTAACTTATCAGAATAATTTTTTAAAACACTAAAATGTATGATACACAAAACACTTGTGTCTGATCGAGTACTTTTCATTTCCATATAGTTTTATACACATCAGATGAGAGAAAATGTAGTCAAATAGTCAAATATGAGAACGGATATTTTAGTAATTGTTTTATAACTTTTTTATTTTAAAAGCTTTTATAATGTATAGATAATACTTAGAAAAAAATGAGTTTTAGTATGCCCACAGCATTACCAAATCTTAATATTACAGATGCTGTATTAGTTTCAGATCTTTTTCATTTTAAAGAAAAACATTATAGTTATTGCTGAAGTCTTGTAATGTGCTATCTTCAATCCCATTTACTTTTATCCTTGTGCTTTCTCCTTCCCCCAGATATCCATTACTCCGAATTTTTATTTCAGCTTCATTTTAAATTCTAATTTGATTCTAAATATCATTTATCATTATTTTATCACCAAAAATAGTTTTAAAGGGAAAAATGGCAAAGAGAAAGGCTAAATAAGTGACTCAGTTTCTTCAACCATTAACTGGATAATATAACTACCTACCTCTGTGGATGGGTCTACAGTGGCTTAAGAGAGATCATGTATGTTAAACATTTAGCACATCATTCACTGGGTGCTTAGTATGAGCCAAGTACTATTTTAGGCACATTATGTACATCACCTGATTTAATAAACCTCAAATCAACCTTATGAGGAAGGTACTATATTATCTACATCAGTAGGACAATTCTGTCCTCCAGATGACATCTGGCAATGTCTGCAGACATTTTTCATTGCCATGGGGGGAGGGATGCTACTGTCATCTAGTGGATACAGTCCATGAATGCTGCTAAACATCCTATAATGCACAGGACAGGCCCCCACAATAAATAATTACGTGGGCCAAAATGTCAATAATGCCAAGGTTGAGAAACTCAGATCTACATTTCAGATACATAATCTGAAACACAGACTGGTTTTATTAACTCACCCTAGGACACAGGTCCTAAGTGAAAAGCCACTTACTAAAAACCTATTCCCTATTTGCTTCCTAACAAAGCTATATTAAGTCAATATTATTTTCTATTTATCAAGGGCAAACAATCTAGTCTTAGTAAGGAAGTCTCTGCTTTACTCCAAAGCAGTAATTTTAAATAAATATATTTGAAAATAAACAGTAAGTACTCGCTCTATGAAACAGAGTAAATATCTCACCTTTGCTACTTATTGAAAATACTGAGGACACTTTAAAGCAACTGATGTAAACTTTCTTAAAAATACAAAAATGAAATTTATCGTAGTAACATTCTCAATTAGTTATACTTGCCTCATCTAGTGGATCCACATCTGTTTTCCTCATCTTAATCAGTACATCATATGCCTGCTGAAGTGCTCTGACTTTAGGATGAGAAACTCTAACATAGGCTGGGAGACAAATAAACCATAAACTGTAACAATGACTGAAGAGACACCTGGCCCATTGTGGTGGATTTGTGTAACATCTCTTCGCCAACTTATGAGCTGTTTTTATCTCCTACAAAGAGAATAAATAAAACATTATAGTATTTACTAAAATTCTTTAGGTTGGGGGGGCGGGGGAATGAGAAAGAAAAGGAAGAAAAGAATATAACATAAAATGTGATTCTAAAATCAAGCATTTCATTTTGTGAGTGGCTTCCTACTTAAGAGCCACATGGGTCCTTCAACCTTCATCTACAGAAGCACTTTATACTGTACTGTTGCTATTTGTTGGAAAGCATGTGTCTGTCTCCTAAAAGACTAGAAAGTCCTTAAAACCAGAGATCAGTCATATATTTAAATACAATAATTAGTTAGACACCTTTCACATAGAAGTCACTCATATGCTTGATGGATGAAAGGGATTTAACCGTTTATAGCCTTTGAATTGCTCAATGTCATTCTTGAAAAGTGAGTCTTCTCACTCCTCCAGCTAAAAAGTTTAAGATGCCCTTGGCCATTTCCTGCCAAGATTTCCACTTTACCCTCACCACAGTCTGTGTTAATTCCTGCATTGGCAGATTACTTAAAAAGAACTATTCCTTTGTAGGCAACAGTCTTGAGAAAGATCAAAGACCTTCCTAGCTAACAGTCTGATAGTCATGTTTTCGACTTCTGATTTTCATCCTGATTTAGGTGGAAACGAGAATAGGCATCAAAATCACCTGCTGCGGGCCAGCCGAGTGGCTCAGTTGGTTAAGAGCCACCTCAGGTGTGCATAGAAGTCAAGGACAAAGGAGACAGTGTCAAAAAAAAAAAAAAAAAAAAATCACCTGCTGAGCTTTATCAAACTATACATACTCCCAGAAACTACAGATATGTCAGACTGTTATTGTATGTATGCCTTGCACTAAAGATCCTTCTGCTGACATGTTCTAAACAAAAATAATCTAGTATATTAATTTTTCTTATGATCTCTATTTCCATGCAACTTAAGATATACTTGAAAACATAGTCGCTTGTTTTTCTAAGATCTAAAAGTCCCTTCCTTCTCCAGCTAGACTGGAAAAAAATTCTGGTGAAAATGAAATTTAAAGACTTAGTAGCAAAACTCCCCCATTTGAAAAACTTGCCTTTATTGGTAAGGATAAAAAAAAAATTTCCCCTTTAGACAACACTGAGAGAAATGTGCACTATACAAAATTAAGGAACATTTCAGGTTACCTCTAGGATTTGGGGGACTGTACAGGAATTGGTAAAAACTGAACTAAGAATTTCATTCTGAAATTTTTCATGTTTTGTCAACTCTCAAAATGTCACTATGTATAAAGGATGTTTAATTTTAATTCACACCTAACTAGAGCTTAACTCTTTATACCTAAATCAGAAATGGTATCAAAACAAGATGTCTAAGTTGTCCTCAGTTGACTCACTTCAACTCCTTTTAGAATGTATTATTTGTTATAAAATGTATTTATATTAACCACAAGGAAAATGCAAATTAAAATCACAATGAGATACTACTTCACACCCACTAGGTATAATCAAATAATGGCTATAATCAGAAAGATAGATAATAAGAATTGACAAGGACGTAGTGAAATGGGAATCCTCATGCACTGCTGGAGGGAATTTAAAAAGGTGTAGCCACTTTGGAAAAGTCTGCGTTTCTCAAAAGGTTACACACAGAGTTACCCTATGACACAGCAATTCTACTTCTAGGCATATATCCAAGAGAAATCAAAACATACATCCACACAAACATGTGTACACAAATGTTCATAACAGCGCTATGCATAACAGCCAAAAAGTTGGAACCACCCGCATGTTCATGAATGGATAAATGTGGTACATATCCATACAATGGACAATTATTCAGCAGTAAAAATAAATGAAGTACTGATAATACATGCTGCAACTTAAAAAATCCTTAAAAACATTATTACAAGTGAAAGAAGCCAGTTACAAAAGGCCACATATTATATAAGTTCATTTAGATGAAATGCCCAGAATAGACAAAACTATAAAGACAGAAAATAGATTAGTGGTTGCCTAAGGCTGTGGGGGATGGAAGAACAGGGAGTTAACAGCTATGGGGTAAGGGCTTTCTTTTTGGGGTGAAAAAATGTTCTACAATTGATTGAGGTAGTGATTGCACAACCCTGATAATATACTAAAAGCCACGGAGTATACTTTAAACGGGTGAATTGTAGGGTATGTGAATTATATCTCAATATTAAGTTGTTATTTAAAAAATGTATTTGGTTCCCAAAGATTCTCTTAAAGCATAAACATAAAGCATTCAAAACCTTCAGTAGGGTTGCAAGAAATATAAATTAGTTCATTAACAACCATAGTAAGTCTTCAAATGGTTGTCCTGGATGATAACTCTAAACTATAAGCTACATATCACATATACATACTTTACATTTTAAATTAACATGTATTAGATAAAGAATATCTGACCTGTTTAGTTCTCTTAGCCATGAGAGCTGGACTGTTTGTAATGCTATTCCCAGTAGGGTGTCTATTAAAACGAAGTTTCAACTCCTGTGGTCTGTCAAAAAGCTTAAGGTCCAGTCTTGGAAAGTATTTGTAACTAAAATAAAAAGCAAAAATAAAGCTGCTGATTTAAAATACATTAAATCTTCATATTATTCTAAAATTTAGGTGAATATTTCTAAATCTCAAATAGTTCCCCATATTATTGCCCAAAATCCTAATATAGAAAAATTTTTTTCCAAAAATATAAGCTGTAGTTATAAAATACACAGGCTATCTATATAGAGACTTTGGCTCCTCCCACCCTATTTGTTATTTTCAACCAATCCCTGCAAAACACAAAACCTTGATATCTCACTTGACACAGGAATTAATAACCCTTGCAACAAAACCCATGTGTTCAATGATAATTTATATTAAAAAATAATATTTACTATACTTTGTAATTTTGTTTTTCTTCATAAAAGTACCTTGCACTAGTATCTAAAAGGAAAAAAATCCATAATATTTTTATTTTAGAGATACACCATAATTTAACCAATGCTTTACTGTTGGACATTTTTAGGTTATTTCTGATTTTTTGCAATTAAGTATCTTTGTACATATATCTTTGTGAATACTTTTGCTTAATTTCTTAGGATATGCCCAACAACAGGGTTTTGCTATATGGTCAATGTTTATCAAGAAAATCACAATTATTATAATCACTACCAAATTATTTCCAGAAAGACTATATGCATGTATACACATTAACATATACTCTAACTAGCAGCATAGCCTACCCTCAATATTATAGACTAAAAATGATTCTAGTCTTCATTTTGGTTTGCATTTCTTTGAATCCTAGAAAAGCTTAATATATTTTCATATTATTGACTACTGGAGTTTCTTCTTGGAAACTGCCTATTATTTCCTTTGGCCAATTTTCTTCTGGGAGATACCGCCTTTCCCTATTTGATTTACCTTGTTTGTTAATACCTGGATTCCAGTGTACAATGATTAAGCCAAAGTAAAATGGAATTCCATAATTAATATGCAATCAAAATAGTACTTAATTAAGCCACTCAATCCCAGTGGCATATACTCTTTATTCTTATGCAGTCCTTCTGAGATTATATATTAATTCCATATTTTTGGAAGACAGTTATTTTATATTTCCTTTGCCCCAGATATTCTTTTAAGAACATAGTCAAAGAAAATAATTGTATATATACACAAAGATATAGATAGCAAAGAACTACAAACAAATCCAAAGAAGACTAGTTAAACAAATCACAATAAGTACATGCGATGTAGTCATTCAAAATGATATGGCACAAAAATATTTACTGGCATAATATTCAAAACATTAAAGGCAAACACAGGTTACAAATAATATGTACAAGATGAACTCATTTGTTTTAAGATAGTGAATGCAAATTTATGCACAAAAATACAGGAAAGATAAACATACAACTATTAACAGACATTAAGTATTGATGCTAAAATGATGTGGTTTTCTTTTCTTGTTTGATTTTCTAAGTTTATTAAACTGTGTAATAAACAGTTTATTTAAAAATTCCGTGAGTCATCTAGCTCTATCAACTTGGTATCGTCTATTGAATCAAAATCAACCTGAAAATAATTATTTTCTCCAATTAATTTGTATATAAGCAAGACCTACTTCTGAAATTTAAAAACTAAAGTTTAACAAAAAGTACCTTATCTGTTTTTCCATGCCTTTGCTATTTATTCTTATAACTGTGACATTATAACAATAATTATAATCAAATATGTTTAAATTTCTTAAAAGACTCCCATCCAAATCCTATTCTTTACATTTGTTTTAATAAAAAATGATTCCTGGGCCTTTACTTTTAAGTTTATTCTGGCATCTTACTAATGCATAAGAATTTCAGTCTTTTGACAACAAAGCCCCCCAAAGGGAGAGGGAATCTAATAAAAGTACATTTTTTTCTTCTTCAGAAATGAAATTTCTAAAGATTAAAATATGGTTAAATGTTTAGGTGAATAGTGATCAACATCTGACTTATCTTCCAACAACGCTGTCCCAATTCTTACCTTACATTACCCAGTGACATCTCCATAAAATACTCATCTCCATGAGTTCGCTCAATAAATTTTGAAAATGAACTTCAGAAATAATTTATATATATATATATATATATATATATATCTACTAATAATAATAATATAAAATAAAAATAAATTACTAAAACTGTGCCCAAATAGCTCTTTAAAAAACTTCCTGCTACCTGTACTTTGGTGACAGGTCCTTTCCGTCATCAGGAGGTGGCTCTGGTGGTGTTATGAATACAGTGTGCTCACTTCTCTGTGAGTCATCTAGCTCTATCAACTTGGTATCTTCTGCTGAATCAAAATCACCCTGAAAATAATTATTTTCCCCAATTAATTTGTATATGTGCAATACCTAATTCTGAAATTCAAAACCTTAAGTTTAAGAAAAAAAATACCTTATCTGTTTTCTCTGTGCCTTTATCAGGAAACAACTAGAAAAGAAGAATTCATAGTGAAAATGTCTACTGTGAATTTAATAGAGGTTATCTTAAATTCTTATTTTAAAAACTATTCTCTTTTACTATTGGTTGGATACAAAAAACTTCACAATATATTTCTGGGACCCTGTACCATATTAGGCTAAAATATAATATTTCTGTTACAGCTATTAAAATAGAAAACACTTTATTTTGATTCATTTTTTCCATAAATCCTTCTTCACAAGCAAAAGATGGCGAATCCCAGGGGAATCTGGCTTCCCAAATAAAAAATTTCATTACTATTAAACCGTTGCATTAGTAATTGATATTATCTAAGCATCCCTCTAACTGGAAGTTATTGCACTATCAATTTTACAAGTAAAAATGTTAAATAATTGTAATCACATCCCTGAAGTTTTAGATCACACTGACAGAATGGGAGAAAATTAATCAATTCTAAGGCATACGAATCATTAGGAGCCCATAAGAAATACAATGCCATAATAGTCTACCTTTTCTGGGTATAATCTCAAATTTTATATAATATATGGTTTGCATTAACAGTCAGGCCCAAGTTCCACTTAACAAAAATAAGAACTCTATTAAAACTAAGAAAAAATATCTGTAAATCATCAATCAACTGTCAAGAATCAACTTCAGCTTCCTCAGGATGGGTGAGTAAAGCTTTAAAATTTAACATATTTCCAAATATCCTCCACTAGGACAAAAGAAATATATTAGCAAAAGTATTTGGAAAGATATTGAAACAAAAGAACGCAGGACTCTATTTCCCATACAACAGGTTTTTAAAGGAATTACTAAAACCTACCTTTTTTATATAAATAAAAAAATAAGATTTAGGAGGTTTAATGAAATGTTCTTAGTACCTAATAGTTAGAAAAACAAAGCGAAGCTCAAAGAGAAAAATTAGCTGTGTATAGTAGAAACTAGATACCACAAGGAAAATGCCTCTTATATTAAGCCCAGAATCAGATATTACACACACACACACACACACACACAGAGTCTCTCTCAGATCATTTGGGCTAATAATGATGATTATACAGGTAGTCAAACTGTTAAAAAGTTTTTCCTTAACATTGATATATAGGACAAATTTTACCTTTTCTATGCAGTCATCAAAAAATGCCAAACCAGTATCTTTATCACTTACAAAACTACATTCTTCAATAAAACGAATAAAAATCTGTGTTTTGGATAAAAGGGTGTAGAATTTTGTATAGGCACGATCTCGACTTTTTAAAAATCCTAAAGAAAACAAAATTACAATTAAATTCAAATTTTAAAGTGGAACTTGATGTTACGTTAAACATTCTTACACTTGTACATATCTATATTATATTCCTTATATACTCGTATATAAATGTTTATGGATGTATCTAGTAACCATAGCTCCTTCTGCCTGATTCAACCATAGAAACAGCTTAATTTATACCATTAACCTTCTCACTGAAATCTGAATCTCTTATAAGGAACCTCTAGCCCTACAGCTCCTAAGTAGAAATTTCTGATACTCTGTATCTGATACTCAAGCAAGAAGGGGCAATGTTCTTCCTCTGCAATGCCTCCACACAATTATTTCTGTATCATCTCTTAAAAATTTCTGCTTGCTGAAGGTTACAGCATCTGGTTATTCTACCTTTCCCCTACTAACTGTAGTCAGCTACTGACTTCAGGGACACTCTCTCCTTCCTTCACTGAAGAGCAGGCACCTAATTCAAAGTCTTCTCTCCAACACCTACCATCATCATTCAACACCCATAAGCACAAACCATCTAACAGTTTAATGAGTAGATTAATGAGTAACTGTCAATGATTGCTATATCCCACTTGAATCACTAACTTTACAGTCACACTCTCTCTGGGCTCCTCTTGCTTACATTCACATTAGCTCTGCTCTCAAATCTCTAATTTACATGTAACTCTCTGACCATCTATCTGGCTTGAGCACTCCTATGAAGGTTCTCGGGGAGCCAGGGCTTACCGCCAGGGGGAGGGGCGGGAGAAGGCAGGCTCATTTGAAATCGACTATCCATTTACCCTTTTACAGCCTACCTGAACCCTCCTGCCTTTACTTCTCTCCCTATCCAATACTGATTCTATGTCCATGTCCATAATTTCAATTACTTTCTTGTCAACACTCTCAATTCTTATGCCCTTTCGTGGTTTTAGTCAAACCCACCTGGCCCTGGAGGCATGTATTGCCTGCTTTCTCTGGATCTGCACCAGTGCAGTTGAACACAAGTTAAAAGGGAAAAAAAAAAGTTCCACAACTAGGTGGATCAGAATCACTTACATACACTGTACCTCCATCCCTGACCAGAAACCCTACTGCATTTCTGGAATCAACTTAATTTCCCTTTACCCATGTTTTCACAGCTATTTTTAAATGCTCTCCCTCCATGTTTTCTCCTCCCATCCTTGAATGATCACATCTTATATTGCAGACAGAATGAAAATCATTAAATGAGAACCACCTTAATTATCTCACTATAAAATCTATGACTGTTCTGCAGCTATCATTCATTCCTTCCATCTTTTTACAATGGATACGTCCCTCCTCCTATCTAAGGCCAAGCTCACCAATTGAGCCTTGGATTCCAGCCCCTTCAGTGTTCTCTGGACAATTCTCCCTCTTTATTAGCTACTTGTGAGCATACTCAAGTCTCTTTCATTTTAGAAAACCTTTCCTTAACAAATAATCAGATCCTTCCCATTTCTGCTATTTCCCTGATCACTAAAGGGCACAATCATCCATTTCATTGTTAAAGACAAAAATCACAAAGATGCTCTTGACATCTCCCTCTATCTTATATCCCATATTAAATCACCAAGTTGTATTTAATCTACCTCCTTAAAAAAACCATGATTCTATTCATGCTAACACCAACAAATCCAGGTCACTTCCACTGATCGCTTGGACCTATCTATGCATTAACCAACTAATTAGTAGATCCATACTCTGGATGCCTCCAATTCAATCTCTGCATAAAAACTAAAGAAATTAAGGGGGAAAAAAGAAAAAAACAAAAACACAAAGTGATATCTTAAAAATGCAAAACTGGGGCCGGCCGAGTGGCGCGATGGTTAAGAACTGGCTTGGGACACCAGAGGGCCCCGGTTCAGATCCCACATATGAGGGCCAGTGACACTGACTGCCCTCTACAGCTAAGATGCTGAACAACAGCTCAACCTGGAGCTGGGCTGCCATGAGTCGCCGGCGGCGACGACAGGCGTAGGCTGCAGCCCCTGTGGCAGTGGGTTGCCATGGGCTACCGTGTGTAGCCAGCAGCCAGCGTGAGCGGCCAATAGCCGCGGTGAGCGGCTGTCCAGAAGCCGGCGACTGATCTGCCTCGCCCGGGAAGAGCGCAATGATGGTGCCAACTTGGGCCAGTGAAGCAACGTCCTCCACAACTAGACTGAAGAACAAAAGCACAGCAACTTGTCTGTTCCCCTTCCCCCAATTCCCCAGCATTGTTCCCATCCCCTCAATTCCCTAACAAAAATCTTTAAAAAAAAAAAATGCAAAACTGATCCCATTACCTAAATATCCTCCACTGGCTTCTAAGTACTCTTAGACTACAGGCTAAGTTCATTGGTTCTAAAAGATCCTACATAATCTGGCTCACACCCACCATTTCAAGCATGGTTTTTGAGCCACTGTTACCTCCAACCTTGCTTTCTTTGGTATTTCAGGGCATTCCACATGCTGTGGTCCTCACTCTATCCCACTGAAATACTAATTGGTTGAGAAACACTTACATAAAATAGAAATAGATTATTCTTAACAAGTAGCAACTAGAAGTTTTTTTTTCTTCTCATGCATATAGGCAATGATCAGCAAAGGCTGCTGAAACAATTAAATGAAATGCTGATGGAGAAACTATAAATGAATGCATGAAGCTGTCAATACTTCAATCCACTGATCAATCTTAGGAGCACTAAAAATGGGACAACCAGACATGTATGCGCCTCACAATAAGAAGCAGTGAGTATCATGTGTTTCAGCATTACTTGCCAAGAAAATTAAACCTGAGTCTAATCAAGCTCTAGATAAGTACTGTTTAATTCAGTAACCACTACCCACATGTGGCAATTCAGCACTTGACATGTGGCTGGTCCAAACTGAGGTGTGCTATCAGTATAAAATACATGCTGATTTGGAAGACAGCATGGAAAAAAGAATGTAAAATATTTCATTAAAATTTTAAAAATTTGGGGCGGCCGGTTAGTTAGCTCAAGTGGTTAGATCGCAGGCTCTTAACACCAAGGTTGCCGGTTCGATTCCCACATAGACCAGTGAGCTGTGCCCTCCACAACTAGATTGAAGACAATGGCTTGTCTTGGAGCTGATGGGTCCTGGAAGAAACACACTGTTCCCCAACAGTTTAAAAATAAAATAAGGGCTGGCCCAGTGGCTCAGTTGGTTAAGAGCTTGCTCAAGAGTGCAAGCTCTGAGCAACAAGGTCGCCGGTTCGATTCTCACATGGGCCAGTGAGCTGTTCTAGAGCTGACCTGCCGCTGAGCTGCCAACAGGTGTCAGGATAGCTCAGCTGGTGAGAGCACATGCTCCTAACAACAAGGTTGCCTATTTGAGATGGTGGGCTATGCCTGCCTGCAATTAAACACTGAACTTGGCACCTTGAGCTGAGCTGCAACCCAGATGGCTCAGGAGATAGAGTGCGCTCTTAACAAGGCGGCTGTGGGTTCAACTCCCACATGGATGGTGGCTACACCCACCCACAACTAAGACTAAACTTGACACCTTGAGCTGAGCTGCAGCCTGGATGGCTGAGTGGATAGAGTGTGAGCTCTTAACAACGAGACTGCTGGTTTGACTCCCGCATGGGATGGTGGCTATGCCCACCCACAACTAATTGAACACAGCACCTTGAGCTGAGTGGCATGACTGGACTTGAAGCTGAGCTTGCTGCACTGTCCACAACTAAGACTGAAGGACAACAACGTGGCTGTTTCCCTCCCCCAATTCCCCAATAAAATCTTAAAAAAAAAAAATTTTAAAGATTCTATTCATAGAACTAGATTACAAATACATAGGAGTTCATTATATTTTAAAATAAATTTTTAAGAATTTATATAGTGAATGTTTCTTGGTACCAATACCAAATAGAAAATATTTTTCATTTCTATAAAAATTAATTGTATTTTCAATGCCACTTACCCTGTCGGTCAAATAATGAATCAGCAAATGTGGCTTTATTTGACGGAGCCTCTGTGATTGGTCTGAGATATGCTCTATATCCTCTTAAAATGGATGCCATAAAGCGCAAAAATGCCTCTTGAATTTCCATCTCAAGTTGTGTCATCTTTTTTTGCCAGGAGAAATCTGCTTCAATTGGAGTCATCTCAATTGCTGAGCCTTCTTGAGTTTTTCGGTGAACTGACAAATGAAATAAGAAGAGACAATGGCATTAATATATAATATTATATATATAAACAGTGAACAATTAAGAAAATTGTCAAAAAAAAAGCTTGTGACTTCAAGTTCTTCTCTCCATGAATGTAAAGGGATCTTGGCAGGGACCAGCAGAGATGTTCAAGCAGATAGGGCACAGACAACATGCTCAAAAAAATCATTTTAATTTCTTTTTATTGGAATTATATTTAGTAATGAGACTCCTTTTAGGCAGAGAAAAATTACTTTTAAATTTAAGAAGAATTTTTTCATACACATTCTTTCATTAAATATATTCCTTTTCCTCACATTTACCTGCAGATAGCTGGGGATACAATTTCTTCAAGGTGCTAAGCAGATTTTTGCATGGCTTTTTAGGAAGAAGCTTCCAGTTCATGTTCTTCTTTTCATCAGATCTATTAAACAAAAACATAACTAATAAAATCTCTCATAATCTGTTTTTACTTGAACAAAATTCTTATGCTAAACTAAAAAAGAAAATGGAAAGGGTATTTTCACTGAAGATACAACAACTGATATAGACAGTCTGAATAAGTGGTTTTCAGGTTCTCTCTTCATTTCAAACAACCTCAGTCAGATTTGGTCATCTCATACTAATCCTCCAACGAAAGATTTTCAATGTTGGACTTATGAATACAACACTGAAGTCTTGCTTCAAAAGTTATATTTTAAAATTGCAGTATTTTAAGTGTCAAACTTAAGTGACTTGAGACTTCAATCTACCTGTTAGAAGCCAATCTCAACAAATATTGAGTCAGTGATATACAGAGCATGTTCTAACTACAATTCAACTGAGTTGGCATTTATGCAAAAAAAAGCCAAATAGTTAAGACAAGAAATTTAAAAATACATAAGGATTATAGACGATGTGATTGTTTATGGCCAAAAAATTAAAGAGAATCTACAAATTAAAAGAATTCAACTAAGTTGCTGGGCAGCAGACCACTACATAAAAATCAGTAACACTTCTATACCCCAAAAACTAACAAGTAGAAAATATAATTAAAAATACCATTTACAGTAGTGATAAAAACCCTAAGGTACTTAGGAATAAGTAAGTCTAACAAAAGATGTGCATGGACTTTACAAGAAAACTGAAAAGTTTATTGAAAAATTTAAAAAAGACCTATGAAGTAAAATACCACATCCATGGATAGGGACAGGGAGGCTTTATGTGAAAAAGATGTCATTTGTCCCCAAATTAATCTATAAATGCAATAGAATTCTAATCAAAATCACAACATAATTTTGTGTGAAATTTAACAAGCTGATGTAGTAAAATTTACATGGAAAAGCAAAGGACCAAATAAATCAAAACAATTTTAAAGAACAGGGTTGTAAAGGGACTTGCCATCTCACATCACAACTTTTTTAAACAATGTTATTAAGATATAATTCATATAGTACACATTTTACCCTTCTGAAGTGTACAATTTGATGGGTTTTAGTATACTCACAGAGTTGTGTAACCACCACCACAATCAATTTTAGAGTATTTTCATCAACTCAAAAAGAAACCTTGCATCCCTTTAGTCATTAACTCCCAATTCCCCCATTCTCCCATCCCAACCATACAATAATCTATTTTCTATGTCTTATAGATTTGCCTTGGTATTTCAGGTAAATGGGATCATATAAACTTTCTTAACATGATATTTTCAAGGTTCATCCATGTTGTAGACAACTTAACTTTAAATTAATTAAGATAGTGTTATATTGACAAGAAGCTAAAACAGAGCAAAGGAACAGAATAATAAGCCCAGACAGATATCCACGCAAATACAGAAACTGGTATGTAATGGTATTGACAATGAAGACCAGCTGGTAAGAAATGAACTGAGTATTCAATAACCAGTGCTAAATGACAATTGTTTATCCATGTCAAAAAAATAAAATGTTATCTCTATGTCATATCAATACACTAATATCAAATTTAGTTGAAGACCTACATGAGAAAAGCAAAACCTTAACAACTTTAAGAACATCCAGGATAGTATTTCACGACCTCAAGGAAGAGGATTCCATATACAAGATCCGAAAATAGCAATCCATAAAGAGTAATTGAGAAATTGGATAAATAAAAATAAGCTTAAGCTTCTGTTCATCAAAAGACACAATAGAATGAAAAGACAAGTCAGTGTGGGAGAAGCTATTTGTACTCTATATAACAGACCAAGAGCTAATTCTAGATTATAGAGAGAACTGATCCAAATAAAATAAAAAAAAGACAACCCAACAGGAAAATATAACCAAAACAAAGAGAAAATTCAATTCACAAGAGAGGAAAACTAAAGGGCAAAATGAAATTAAATGCCCCATTTGCAACTAATTAGACAAATGTGAATTAAAGCCACAGTAAGATCCAATTACCATAAAATCTGTAAAAATTTCTGACCATAACAAGTAATGGCAAAGATATGAAACAAAGAGAACTCTCATTTGCTGCTGAAGAGGGGGTACACTTGGAAGAGAAATGTGGCATCAGCAAAGCCTACCAGGCAAGGTATATGCTTCAGAGAAATTCTTGCCCACATACTCAAAGAAATATGCACAATAATGATCAGAGCAGCCTTGTTAATGCAACTATCGAGGTACAATCTAAATATCTAGCAACACTGATAAACACTGAAACTGAAGTAGAACTACATGTATCAACATGGATGAACTCATAAAGAATGCCAAGTAAAAAAAGCAAGCCTACACAAAAAGAAAACTATACAAACATAACAATTTTTTAAAGTATACAAATAAAATATCATTTAGAATAATACATGCTTCTAAAAACACATGGCAATAATAAACACCAAATTCAAGATAATGGTTAACCAAGAGCAAGATATGTTGCAGAAGTCTATCCAGAGGTTTCAGATTTATTAATAATATTCTATTTTTTAATCTGGGAGTTATTTACATTATTCTCTATAATTCTTGGGTATATAGAATACGTCATAATTCTTTAAGTAAAACTGAGCAAAGAATTCAATGTTACTTTAAAAAACAATATTTTGATCAACAGAAATTTTATAGAAGTTATTTAAAACTGGGCAAAATTAAACATCTTCATAATATTATTTTATTTAAAACAGTAAATAAAATAAGGCAAATATCTCAGTTACTTCATAAATAATCAATTCCAAAAGCACCACAATGTATACAACCCTGACATAACTGTTTGTCACAGAGAACAGCTGAAAAACAACAAAATGTGTGCTATAAGAAATATTTAGTGCATGCCAAGTGGTTCATTATTTATACAGGCTGTAAATAAATCTAAATATACATAGTAAAAGCTACCACAATTATACAGTTTCAAAATACAATGGTAGATCCTTTTCCAAGTTATTTTTTAAGTTACAGCAAATGTTTTCTTCCTTCCTTTAGTTACTCCCCTTTGGTTCACTTTGGGATATTTTCCCAATCAATTCTATTGCTGTGACCACTGAAGTCTCACCTAAAATTCTTACTCTATTCATTTACTGCCAATCACAAATAGTAAAGAATAAAAGTACTCCAGGACCTGGAAGTTGGCACCAACACTAGGAAATTTTCAATATTTACTAGTCTTTCCCATTTTAGGGCGTCTGGGGAGTATGGAAGGGTTTGTTCTTAAGCATCCATCAGAGTTGCTTCTTCTATTAAAGTGGTACTCTCTGAACCCTGTTACACCACTGCTGTACGTATTTATCACCTTCAGTAAAAACAAACTATGACTAATTTTTAATATCAATTTCTCTGCAATAATAGATCCTTATCAAATTCAAATCTTGACAACTAAGGAAATGACGTGATGTTACCCTATATTGTGACTAAACTCAATCAGGTAAACCCATTTTTTAAAAGCTTACATATGGATTTTGAATTAAACTAAAAAGTGTATCATCTCTTAACTCTGAAAGCAGTGTTTAACCTTTTTTTCCAATCCATATTCTTTTATGATAAACATAAATTTCCCCTGCCTGCCGTTAAAGTTAGTACCCAAATATAAACTACTATAATGTAGAACATGTTCTTTTTATTTTTCTCCTCTATTTTTTATTTCAACTATTTTTTTATTATTATTATTAGTTTCAGGTGTACAAAACAATGCAATAGTTATCATTTTCACCCCTCACAAAGTGACAACCCCCCCTTTCCCCATCCACTGCCCCCCCACCCCCGATATCATACATATCTATTACAATTCCATTGACTCCATTCCTACACTATACTCTGCATCCCATGACTATATGTATATAAAATTATAGTTGACATACAATATTATTCAACATCAGCTTCAGATATAGTGTGGTGGACATGCCTCTACACCGTCTATGAAGTGGTCTCCCTAAGAAGACATGAGTCCTCTGCCCCCTAAAAAATATTTACATTATTGATTATATTCCCCAGACTGTCTTTTCTATCCCTGAGGCCATATTGTAGTTACCAATTTATGTTGTCTCGTCCCTTCCCCTTCTCCTTCATCCCCACCCGCTCCCAACTAGCAACCACCAGTTTTTCCTCTGTATCTCTGAGGCTATTTCTGTTTACATTTCTCATTTATTCAGTTCTTTAGATTCCACATATAAGTGAGATCATATGGTATTTGTCTTTCTCTGACTGACGTATTTCACTTAGCATAAAAACATGTTCTTTTTCAAACCACACAGCTTTCCAGAATTCTGAAACTTTGCCCTGGTTGAGATTCATTGATGAAGACATAGTAACAACTTTTAAAGATAGTGTATTTCTAGATGCTTTCAAAGACCTGTAACTACATATGAGGAAAAATATAAATGGGAGATAAAACAAAAAAAAAACAACTTACACATATAACATGTTTGTGTCCAGGTCAATGCAAACCACATCCTGTGGAGGGTCATGAAGGTCAAAATACCTTGAGTCAACTCCAACTATGAATGGTACAGGTGCACTAAGCACCGCCGCCAGTGAGAGAGGACAAAGGGGAATATATGGACATTGCCACTGAAATGGAAAGATCATCTGGGAAAAAAGTTGTTATAAATTAGCCAGATTTGAAATTTGCAATAAAATTATGTAATTAACTAGTATCACTGAAAGGGACAATAAGAAGCAGTTAAGTCTACTTTCTTTTAGCTTAAACATCATTCCAAAAACTAAAATGACTATAAAACATTACTAAGCAATACTATGAACCAATGTAATTAAAATCTTTAAGCGTGAGAATGATCACAAGCACAAAACACGCTAATAGTTCTTTGCATGTCAATTATTCTAATGTTTATACAAAACCCACATTCTGTTTTATGGAAAAATTCAAAGAAGAGAGAATTGCCTAAAAAATTATAAAACAAACTCATGATCTTTAACTCTTAAGCATTTCATCCATCTATTAATTCTCAAAATAACCTTTGATTAAAATCCAACTAAGAGCACCAACGAATTAAAAAAATTAAAATGCTTCTCTTGGGAATGTTAATAGTCAACTGAAAATTTCAACAAAAAAATTTCCTAACTACTCAAATAAATATAAAATGATCCAAATTCAGTGAAGCTTGGCATCTTAAAAATTTTTACTAGTCAATATAAAACATACCTCAAGAATCTTTACCAGCTTTCCTTCACAAAGCTCTACCTTAACTGTATCCCATATGGTTTTTTTTTAAAAAGACAAGGTTAACTAAAAATCCAGATTAAAATTTTAATAATCAGTTAATATTCAAATCTTAATCATTGATGATAAATTTTTCCTCTCCTATAAAAAATCCTTGCTGTCTTTCAAGGTCTATTTCAACTCTTATCCATCATCATTCACCTCAAAGAAATGCCTATAGCATTTACTACCTCTGCCAGTTATTTCAGAGTTATTCAGAATTGGGATTTTATATTCAATCATTTATTTACTCATCAAATATTTGAACACTTAATATGTGCCAAGCACTGCTCTAGATGATGGAGCATAACAGTGAATAAAAATAAGATTGCTGCCCTCATGTGGTTTGTAGTCTAGCGTTAAGAGTCGGCAAGCTTTTTCTGTAGAAGATAGGAAATGTTGTAGGACTTGTGAGCTATATTGTTTGTGTCACAAATACTTAACTCTGTCTTCACGCATGAAAGCAGTCATAGTTTTAATATGTAAATAAATGGCCTATGTTCCAAGCTTTACAAAAATAGGCGGCAGGCCAGATTTGACTCACAAGCCATAGTTTCACAACACCTGGTCTAGCAGGAAAAGACAGAAAATAAACAGAAGACATAATAAATGAAATATATGCCATGTCAGAATCTGCTAAGTGCTACAGAAAAATGAAATAGTAAAGCCAAGTGAAGGGGATTAGAGTTCAGAAAAGCAGAGAGGGAAAGCAGGTCATATTATTAAATAGGCCAAACAAGGTAGGCCTCATTAAGAAAGAGACAACTAGGGGACGGCCGAGTGGTGCATTGGTTAAGAGTTGGCTTGGGGGCCGGCTGAGTGGCGCGATGGTTAAGAACTGGTTTGGGACGCCAGAGGGCCCCGGTTCGGATCCCATATATGAGGGCCAGTGACACTGCCCTCCACAGCTAAGATGCTGAACAACAGCTCAACCTGGAGCTGGGCTGCTGTGAGTCGCTGGCGACAGTGTAGGCTGCAGCCCCTGTGGCAGTGGGTTGCCATGGGCTACTGTATGTAGCCAGCAACTAGCGTGAGCGGCCAGCAGCCGCAGTGAGCGGCCATCCAGAAGCCGGCGACTGATGTGCCTCACCAGCGCAATGATGGTGCCAACTTGGGCCAGTGAATCAACGTCCTCCACAACTAGACTGAAGAACAAAAGGACAGCAACTTGTCTGTTCCCCTTCCCCCAATTCCCCAGCACTGTTTCCATCCCTCCAATTCCCCAATTAAAAAAAAAAAAATCTTTAAAAAAAAAAAAAAAAAAGAGTTGGCTTGGGAGTGCCAGCTCTGAGCAGCAGGGCGCAGTTCAGATCCCACATGAGGGCCAGTGATACTGCGCCCTCTACAGCTAAGATGGTGAACAACAGCTAGACCTGGAGCTGGGCTACTGTGAGTCGCCAGCGACAGCATAGGCTGCAGCAAGGCTGCAGAGGGTTGCCATGAGCTACCGTGGGTGGCTGGCAGCCAGCGTGAGCAACCAGCAGCTGGCATGAGCTGCCATGAGCGACCGTCCAGTGGCCAGCGACCAATCTGCCTTATCCAGGAAGAGCGCAATGATAATACCAACATGGGCCAGTGAGGCGACATCGTCCACAACTAGAATGAAGAACAAAAGAACAGCAACTTGTCTGTTCCCCTCCCCCAATTCCCCAATAAAATCTTTAAAAAAAAAGAGACAATTGAACTACAACCTGAAGGAGGTGAGGGATTTTGCCAAAGTGGGTATCTGGAAGAGTGCTTCAAAGAGAACAGCTGGAGCAAAGGCCTTAAAACACCGGGTCTAATGTTTCAGGGGTAGCAAGGAGTCCAGTGTGGCTAGAGCAGAGTAAGGAAGGGGGAGAGTAGCAGAAAATGAGATCAGAGAGCAGAGGGACAGGGCCACTAGCAAGGGCCTTGCAAGGACTTCAGATTTCCTTCAGTGAAAACAGATTATCTTCCATTCAACGAAAGGTGTGTTACACCTGCAACTACGTAGGAAATTTTAGAACAAAACTATCTGATAGCAAAATATGACACCCTTGTCTTCACCTTTGACTTTTGCAGTACAATCATAAATAGGGTCATTTTTACAAAAATACTCATTGGTTTTGTCAATTTTTGCTATAAGTCTCCATTAATTCTTTGATATTCTTGATACTCAAATTATTCTCCTTTTGAAGAATTCATCCTGTCACCATTCCTTTTAATTTTCTCTTCTTTAAATTGCGTAACTGCCAAATCCTCATTTATCAGTGGCTTCAACATCAGTTACATAAATTCCATGCAATCTTGCATTTTTCATAAAATTTATAATTTCGTGTTGCAACTTTTCCACCTGTTCTTGCACTATATTGCTGAAATCAATCAAGAGGCTGGGCCACAAAGATTCTAAGAAAGGGGGATGGATAAACACTAATGTTTTCTTGGAAGGGATATTTGAGTGGGAACTTTCTAAAACTGCTCAGTTCATTAACAAATATTTTCATGTTACAATGACTTGTGCTTTCACATGCAACTGTGAAGGCTTGGAAAATTAATATATAATGAGGTTCTTTGCCTCCCATAAACCATCTCACATGTTATTATTGTTTTCAGCCCTAGAAGCATTTTTTTGACCAGATTAAGATCTTGGAGACATATCCCATTTGTTGATTTAACAAGTCTTTATTCAGGGCTTATTCCATGCTATCTAAGCATTTGTACATTACCTTTTTCACAGTCACTTAGAATTTTCTACACATTAATGGCTCACAATGATTAAAAGTTAAAACTGGGCTCTCTCATGTTAGTGGCAGATGGTGGCTTCTGAGTGGGACACAGATAATCACTGCTGGCATGGGGGCAAGTCTTCCTGCCTCCCCCTTTCAGCTCACTGCCAGCATCCAAGCTCTCCAGCATGTCCGTGGTGCCACCCAATCACTCAGACCAGCTGGGCCCAGAGTGGGGGCTTGCGGGGGGGGGGGCCGGTATCAACCAGTTCAACAAGTGCATCCAGCAGACTAAGCCCCTCACCTTGGAGTGCACCATCAACCTGTACTCTCTTACCAATTATACATTTTGTACAAAAGAGTCCCTCTCTAAGGACAGCTGTGGTGCAGCCAGATTCCAGTGCATAAGGGAGGAATGTGATAATATTGGAATGAGGAGGGCTGTAGAAGGGGATCTGATTATACATAAGCACCAGCTATCCCACGTGCTACTGCTACAGTGGGGAACAATTTTCTTCAAATTACCTGGTGGTGAACTTAACCCAGGAGAAGATGAAGCTGAAGGACTAAAATGCTTAATGACAGAGGTATTGGGTCAAGATGAGTGTCCTACAAGGTTGGGTCACTGATGATTGCATTGGTAACCTCCTCAGTATCCCTATATTCCTGCACATATTACAAAACCCAAGGAACATAAGAAATTGTTTTTGATCCAACTTCAAGAGAAAGCCTTGTTCGCAGTCCCTAAAAATTACAAACTGGTAGCTGCACCATTGTTTCAATTGTATGACGGATACAAACACATCATTTCTAGTCTCCCTGTGCTTTTGAGCAGGTTCAATTTTATATACAACTGAATTCCTGCCCAGTGGAGAAGTAAAATAAGCCGTGTCTGTGAGCACAGCTCTACAGTGTAGAATAAACATGGCAGAAAAGTTTTTTTGGTTTTATCTCTTTCCCAGTCCCTAAATTGCCCCCTGCTTTCTATAGTTTGAAGTCAAGTTAATAGGAAGAATTACATAGTGGTATAAACACATGTGATAATGTTTAATTTGTTTTTGTTTCTTTCTACTCAAACGTTTTTGTACAACATTAAAGTGAACTTCTATTTGTATTATTTTTTTTAATTTCACATTAAACTTGTAAAATTCTAAAAAAAAAAAAAGTTAAAATTGGGAGAAAGTAACTGTGTAATTTATTTCTATTAATTTTAGGGCAGCTGAAATAAGCCAGAGCCTCTCATTTAATACAGTAAGTTTCACTGACAAGTTTTATTATTATGTAATCCTATAGATTCTCTGAAGAACTCTAAAATATGAAAAGTGAAATATTAGAAATTGAAATTTTCTCTCAAGCAGAGAAAGTTTCTCTTTGCCATCCTATTATTTTTATGTTAAACTTTTACTGGTAATTTCAAAGTTACTTTCATTGAAGAAAATTTCCCTTTAGAGTAAAGATTCTATCAGTAATTCTGTACAATAAAAATTCTACACTTACAGCTACAACAGCTTCGGCCACTCCAGTCAACACTGCTGGCCTAAGAGAATGCAGCAGAATCTTACTCTCAAGTAAAACAAAGAGCAGCAGCGTAGCACAGTTCTCAGGACCCAGGTTCATTAACAAGGTACTAAAGTTGGCTCCACTAGAGAAAGAGAAAAAAGAGATGATTATGAACTATTTTGCAAAAACGTTAAGATTTGCTTTTTATTTCTTAGATAGTAGACTGAGAATCCAGTGTTAATTTCAAGTCCTGGTTTAGTTATCACTGAAAAGTAGCAAATCTAATGCAATAACAGAATGATTCAAACTCATCCTTTGGTAAAAAAAGGGGTATTTATCAGGAAAGACTTTCCTGAGATCAACCATATGAGCAGAGCTCAAAAGAACAGAGGTAATGGTTGGGGTGTGGGAGGGAGTGGGGTATAACATATACAAAGGCTTGTCAGATTCAAGAAATTGAAATAAACCTATTATGACTAAAACATAGTAAAGGAGAGGGTGAAAATAGTAAGAGAGTATGCCGAAAGAGAAATGACACAATTATATCTGCATTCTCAAAAGGACACACTGGCTACAGTGTGAATAAAAAACTGAAAAAAGACAAAAGCCAAAGGCTATCAATTAAAAGGTAGTTAAGTAGTCCAGGTGAGGGATCATGCTAGCATGAACTAGTGATGCAGATGAAGAGAAGCTAATTGTCATGACATTTTAGGAGGTTAAAATCAGTTCACCTTGAACATTTAATAATGAACATTTAATAATGGGGAGGGGCTATGAGAGGAAAGAAAGGTTTTCCCTACAACTCTCTTAAATAGTCTAGTCTTTAAATGGCCCCACCATTCAACAAGCTATCAAAGTTAGAAACATTAAGGCTATCCTTACATAATTTGTAAAAATAGCACTTTCTTATCTTAACCCTTAAAATGTTTTAAAGCATTCTGCGCCCAGTAAATAAATATATCATTTTAGATAAATAATGATTTACCTTAGTGGTAAAGGTGTAGAAACTGGCTGTGATAATATTAACGCATCATGGGCAGATAGCTTAAAAAAACAAAAAAAGACAAATTAACCAAGCCAATTCTAAAATCTAAGTATTTAGATCAAGGGTAAAATGGAAAATATTTTAATGTGCAGACTAACATGACAGTTTTGGAAACATGTACTAAGATATAAAAAAATAGCTATGTTTACTCAGAGGTACTGTATTCTTTTTAATTAAATTGTTAATTCAACTGAATTTTTATTTAGTTAATTGGTTAAAATAGTTATTTAAAAATTATGGAATAACTTTTTTAAAAGCCTCAAATTTATTTATTCTACACACTGGTAAGCACTTGGAAGTTACCTGATATACATTAACATTTGCTGAATTGAAGTACATTCAAGATTAACAATATTTGACTTAATGCTACCATATCACATATAATGTTGATAACATCTTAGGAAAAAATTTATAACTGCTTGCTTCTCAGTGCTACTCAAAGTGCCAGTCTACAAACTGTTATTGGTCCAGGAAGATAGTACATAAATGGAGAACAAGCCATTTAGAAACTTTTATGGCAATCTGACACTGTTCGTACATCCAAGTACATGATCAGTGAACTCATGAGGTATAGACCTGTTCATGTTTATACAGATCTCACATGATAAGTTGCATATATCACAAGCTATATGCTTATACAGGTCTGCCACTGATTGGAAATAAAAAGAAACTAGTCCTTTAACATAGTTTGAAGAGCACTATTACAGACGATTTCACTCTCACCCTCCAACCATAACTCATTTCATATTTAATATTTATTAGTCTCTCCAATATTAAAAACATGCCCAAACATAATTCTGGGTTTCAAGGTATTAAAATTAGCTACTTAAAGGCCATGCATGGACCAATGTTGATAATCTCATGTGCCAGAGATTATAATTATTCCAATTCTGTACACCCAAAATTCAAAAAACCACTACAAAAGTATGTTTAATAAAGATATAAAATACAAGAACTTCAAGGTCTTTACGAATGCATACTGCTCCACCTCAAACCCAAAGAACACAAAATCCACTCTATAATGACTATAATGAATATATGCAGGATTCCCCTCAAATATACTTTTTGATTACCTGTACAAGAATTCTTGGTCTTTGTGGTGAAGGAAAAGGGATATTTTGCATAAAATGTGAAATGTGCCTGGAAAAAATTGAAATAAAGATAATTACTTTCCTAAAATTCTTCATCAATTTTAACAAGTCTTAAATATCATTCTAAATTTGATGAAGCCACTTACTTAAAACTTAAGCTAAATAAATAAATTTACTCAGTGTAAATAAATGTACTCATCCTACCAAACTTCTGAAATGCACAATGTATTTCCTGATTAAAAGTCCATATTAATATACCCTGTTATCACCAGAAAAATTAAGAGTAACAAAAATATGGTTTTCATGAAAGAGCTAATTTTTATTGCCATGGGTATCAGTACCAATATGGGGACCAACTAACTGTCATATAGTAAGTTACAACTAATATAAAATTTAATCCTAATAATTAAAAATCAAATATAAATTTAAATTAATTATTTTACTACAACTTAGGGCAAACCATTTACCCTCTCCATTTCTCTACCTATAAATAATGCTGCTTAAGTTTCTCCAAAGTTTTGAGCTCTTAGGAGCCACTAAAATGCAAACTACTACTTCAACTGAGAAAAAAAAATTGATCACATACACTGATTTTATTTTCAGAAACTACTCACAGAAACTTAATTTTTCCAAAGGTTGCTAGCTTGTCACTAACAATTAAATTTTACTTCAGACACTTTTAAGTTAATCTGATAGCTGAAAGTTAAATCTAGAATATGAACCATTAGATTGGCCTTCCAAGAGTACAACACAAAAGTCGAAACCATATTTCTATACTAAGTTGTGATAAGTTTATGCACAGTACTTTAAAGTTTTTTAAAGTTGATTTTGAACAGCATTATTTTAGAACCTACAGATAATTACCTCCAACTTATCCAATAAACAAATATGTTTTGCTGGTATTTTTTCTACTATAACCTGAGATTTTTCAAATTGTAAGAAAAATCTATGTTTACGCATACTATAACACATTTCCACAGAACTCTTGACACCTCTTGGTTTGTTAGCAGGGTACATAAATTATTTCCTCTAATAAACAGAAGTCATTGTGCCACCAGGAGCCAGAAAGATGTGGTTTTAAAAAAACAGAGGCTCCACATATATATTCCTTGCTTACAAGATTTTCACGACAAAGGGAATTATAAATCAAAAGAAAAACATGCAGAATTCTGTCAGTGCTAAAACCAAAACTTCACTTTTAACATCAATTAACTCACCCTTATTAATTTCTAGATCAGTTTAGAGATGTTTTATAGTTAGAGCTTGGAATGGCCACTTGTACAGGTGTGGATGTATGTGTGTATCAACACCTATTTTTCTCTTCACTTTTAGAGAATTAATAAAGAACAAACACAATACAACATATGTATGCGTTCCTTCCTCAGCTGAATTCTCAAAAGATTATTATTTGATCATCCTCACCACTACTTCTTAATTTTAAAGTCACAGTCAATTATTCAAGTGAGTAAGGGAGCAAGTAAAAAGTAGAGTGACTGTGGTTCTCCTTCTAACTTTGCTGCTTAAAGTCAGGTAAACAATGAAATGTATATATACACCCAGTTTTCCACCAGACATCTCTTTAATCATTATACATACTTTTCAATGGGAAGAGGATGTGGTCCAGACACAGAAAGTTTGTAGATAAACATGAGAAATTTTCTAAAAGCTTCAAAAAAAGGCCAGTGTGAGAGTAAACAAATGCATTTGTTTGAATTGATGGATTTGGAGACCATTTTTCTCTCCACAGGTGTCAACAAGCCCAGCTGCATAAGCTGTTTCTCTGTTAGAAGTTCCCAAGAGTAAGGCTCATAAAACTGGATAGCAGCTCCATATACCTACAGAACAATAGAATTCCATTATAAGATTTGAGGTTTTTTTAAAATTAATTTCTCTTTTTCTCTTATTCCACAGAAATATTTGCTTACAGTGCATATGACAGATAAACAAAAAGAAAAAATCTCAACATTGCTGACGGGACTATAAAATGGTACAGCTGCTGTGGAAAACAATTCAACCAAGTTCAACTCCAAAAGTTAAACAAAGAATTACCATATGATACAGCAATTCCACTCCTAGGTATACAGGTATCCCCTGCTTTCTGAAAGTTCTTATTATGCCACATCACTTTTATGAAAGACCTACATCAGCACCTGTTTACACTAACCAAAATAAATCCAAAGGGGATTTTCACTTTTATGAAGGAAGATGAAAAGCAAAAACAGAGTTCAGCATTTGTTCTGCAGCCAGCATTACAGAGGTGGCGTGCACCCAGCAGTTAGAGTAGCACCACCAAGCTCCTTCCCTGGGAACCACACGCAGCATCTCCACATCAGGACGCCATATTCTGAACTGTGTTTGTGAGCATCTGTGCTTTACCTCAATTAGTTTGTGCTTCTACTAGTAAGATGTGTCCTACAGTATCAGAAAAGCCTAACAGAGCTTGTAAAGGTGTTATGCTTGGCATAAAACTTGACATAATTAAGCACTCGACTGTGAACTAAATAAAAGCATCCTAAGTGTGAAGTTGCCTGGTCTGCATTTGTACTATTTACACGCCGAGAGAAAGAATCCTGAAAGCTGCCAAAGTTACTACCGGTTCTGCTAGTAGCAAAGTGGTGCCCCTTAGTTGGCATCCAGTAATGGATAAAATGAAGTCTATTGCTTGAGTGGATTGATGGGTGTACAAAGTGTGGTGTGTATTTATCATATCATTCCTGCTTTTACTATATGTTAGTGTTATTTTAGGCTTTGTGTGTTATTTGATATGGTTTGGCAGGTTATTTTGGGGATATGGGCATGCTAAAAAAAATTTCTACATAAATTAATGGTAATTGTTTATTCGCTTTATGCCATTTTGGCTTGCAAAAGATTTCATAGGAATGTTCTGTTTTCGGAGAGTGGGGGAAACCTGTGTACCCCAAAGAATTCAAAACAGCAACTCAAACAGATATTTGTACACCAATGTTCAAAGCAGGATGATTCACAGCAGCCAAAAAGTGGAAATAACCCAAATGTCCATCAACAGATGAATGGATCAACAAAATGTGGTGTATATATATATATATATATATATATATATATATATATATATATATATAATCCACCCTTAAAAAGGAATGAAATTCTGATAGATACTGCAATGTGGATGAACCTTGAAAACATTATGCAAAATGAAATAAAACAAACACAAAAGGACAAATATTATATTATTCCACTTATATGAGCTACCTAGAATAGGCAAATTCATAGATAGAAAGTAGACTAGAGGTTACCAGGGACTTGGGGTGAGGGTAGCTTCTATTTAGGTTGATGAAAAACGTTTTCAAAATGGATAGTTATACTTATATAAATCTTACAACTACTTAGTAATTATATATAACTCTTGCATTTGCAGATACAACACTCCCAGATACAGTTATTTCCAAGTGATCTCAGATTTTTTTTTTTAAGATTTTTATTGGGGAATTGGGAGATGGGAACAGCGCTGGGGAATTGGGGGAAGGGGAACAGACAAGTTGCTGTCCTTTTGTTCTTCAGTCTAGTTGTGGAGGACGTTGCTACACTGGCCCAAGTTGGCACCATCATTGCGCTCTTCCCGGAGAGGCAGATCAGCTGCCAGCTTCTGGACGGCGGCTCACGGCGGCTGCTGGCCGCTCACGCTGGCTGCTGGCTATACACAGTAGCCCATGGCAACCCACAGGGGCTGCAGCCTACGCTGTCGCTGGTGACTCATGGCAGCCCAGCTCCAGATTGAGCTGTTGTTCAGCATCTTAGCTGTAGAGGGCAGTGTCACTGGCCCTCATATGTGGGATCCGAACCAGGGCCCTCTGGCGTCCCATGCCAGCTCTTAACCAACGCGCCACTCGGCCGGCCCTGATCTCAGATATTTTTAACAAGCAACAAGACAAAAGCATCTCAATGTAGTTTTTTTTTTTGTTCTCTACTGGTCAAACTTGATAATTCAAGTGTTTGAAGATCTTAACGTTTTCATTTATATAATACTTATTGCTTTCAATGAGAGAATCTATAAATGATTCTATAGTTAGCTTAGTTGTAAGCAATCCAGTTGATATAGTTGGACTTCATTCAGTGAGTATTTTACTATGTTTCAAACACAGTGCTGGATCTTCACCTTCATTATTTTTAATACAATGGCTGTGAACTTGTAGCCTATAGAATCAGGCCATGCATGTATTTTGTTTGATCCAACTTTAGTTAGTTATGATTTTCAGTAAAATTGTCTATTTTATCAAATTATCTCAGAAAATTTTCAACTTCAAATTTCTACTGTATCTATTTACTTTTAAGATATTCAAGTTTTATTTACTTTTTATGTCCTAATATATTTTTTGGGTATCTCTTTTTTATTTTAAATTATCATTCTATGTCATTATTACTGCTTTATACACATTTTTAATTTTTGGCTATTACAAATAAAGCACATACATGTTTTTAAAGAACAATATACTCCTACACACTCACATCTCTTGGGATATGCTCAGGAGTATAACTGCTGGGCCACAGGGTTGTTTCTTTTCCTTGCTGATAATGTAGAAGTTCTATACTTATTTTGGATTCGAGACCCATCTTGAATACATATATCACATTATTTTCTCTTGGCCTGTGGCCTGCTTCTTCACCTTCTTAATGGTATCTTTGAATGAATATACTCATATGTTAACTATTGTACAATAAAGGCATATTATTCATCTTTGCTTTTATGGCTAGTGCTTTCTGCATGCTGTTTAAACTATCTTTGCTAACTCCCTCCATTTTAATATATTATTTGGTTTCTGACCCTTACTGTTGTTGAGAAATTAGCCAATCTAATAGTCGTTCCTTTGTGGGGGGTTTTTTTGTTGTTGTTTTTTTTTAGCTGAGCCATCCTGCCACCTGTTGGCAGCTCTGCAGCAACTCAGCTCGGGCCGGGCATCAAACCTGTTGCTCAGAGCTCACACTCTTGAGCGAGCTCTTAACCAACTGAGCCACTCGGCTGGCCCCCAATAGTCGTTCCTTTGAAAGTACAATATTTTCTTTTTGCTTTTTGTCTTTGGTGTTCCACAGTAATATGAAAAGAGGTGGTTCTGTATTTTTATTTTTTTCTATTGAAGGTTCAGAGTGTATCTTTAATCTGAAGAATCAATTTTTCATCAATCCTGGAAAACTCTCAACCAACCTTAGCTTTTTATATGCTACCTCTCCCTTTCTAGTCTCTCTTTCTGTAATTTATTAAATATTGGTCCTTCTGATTCTATCCTGTACATATTTAAACTCCTTTTATGTTTTTCTGTGCTACATTTGAAATGACCTATCTTCAAGGGCCGGCCGAGTGGCTCAGTTGGTTAAGAGCTCGCTCAAGAGTTTGAGCTCTGAGCAACAGCAGTTCGAGTCCAGCCCGAACTGAGCAGTTGCTGAGCTGCCAACAGGTAGCAGGATGGCTCAGCTAAAAAAAAAAAAAAAAAAAAGAAATGACCTATCTTCTACTTCATTAATTCTCCCTTCCTGTATGTCTTATCTGCTGTTGAAATCATTCATTGAATTTTTAATTTTAAGGACCATATTTTTCATTTCGAGACATATGGTTCTTTTCCAATCTATCTGTTTTTCAAAATATCCTGTTCTTTCTTGACGTTTTGAGCCCCTCTATTAGGTCTTGAATCATTTCAATTATATATTCAATTTATAATATCCTTCGTATTGTTATTCTTTCATTTCAATATCTTGAGGGTCTACTCCACTTTGTATTGTGTCCTATTGATTCTTCCTATGGTAACTATAATACATCTTCTAACTTTTACAATAATCTCATCTTGAGGCCTGGGTTTTGGCAGTGTCTCTCCAGAAAGACTTTATATTTGCTTCTGTAGAAGCTCAAGGGGTATCAGCATCCTGATACCAATTTTTATGCTGACTTTTCACCTTAAACATTATAGTACAAATTTAAACCAAAATGTATTGTGTCCAAATAATCCTAATATGCAAATAAATCTTATATTAATCATTTTGTGAGATTAAAACATGGACAAAATAGGTTAAATAAAAGAATAAAAAATATACCTTTTCAGCAGAAGAAGCTGTCAGGACGAAAGTTGAAAAAACTGGAAGTGGGTGTTTGGTTTGGGGATCCCAACATTCAATAGTAGCTCCCATAGGAAGGCAGAAGATAGGTACAGATTCTGAGAGTGGAAATGACTCATAGTCATCTTCTGGGTATCTAAAAATTAAACCTTTGGAGAAGGGATACAACAATAAAATTTTTAATAGCTACTTTTCCATAAATTATATGTGATACGTTATTAGGATATTTTAATAGCAAATTTCACAGAAATATTTCTGTGTGACATTTCAAAATCAATTTTTCTCTTGCCATATCAGAAATTAAAATAAATTAACAAATGTACTCTAGTTTTCTTAACCTATGATTTTTTAGCTCATTGTAATGTTAAAATGTATTAAATATACTAGTTAAAATGCTATTCAACAGGATAACCAACTTAATGTATTTTCTTCTACATACTGCCAACATCTTATAGAGAATGGTAAGAAACATACAGGAAAATTTACCAACTATTTCAGTTAGTCTTCTGTAAAACATTCAGGGAAGGAACAAGTGTTATGATACAATTCCAAGGAAACAGAAATTATCACAGCCCCTAAACTCATCCTGAGAGAGAAGCAGTGTAAAAGGCATGCAACATTAAAAGTTAATGAGACAGAAACCCTTTGCGGCTGAGTACAGAGTGTGTGAGACAAAGGAAGTATGAGCAGGGGGCACTCTGAGAAGCATAACAAAGCCCCTTAAGAATAAAGTAGCTACGTGGCATTTGTTCATCAGCCTCTGATGGCTCTAATATGCAGACCACACCTAAGATAAACACTTGAAAATCAGTAGCAGATTTTTGAGTCCAAATTCAGTCTCCAAAACTCTGTATTCTAACATAAGTGTCTTAATATCAACTACCTTAATACTTCCACAAAGCTTGTTTCTATAAGGTTTTTCTAAGTGACACTTTCCACACACACACAAAAAAAAATTTTAGGAAATCACATAGTCAACACATTACAGCAATGTTAACAGTATCGCATTTTAAAATGATATTGAATTTATAATTGTTGCTGCCTTTATTTTTACATTATAATTAATGGTTTGATTCATTAGAATGAATGTCTTTATGAGGACAATCAAGATTTCAAGATTTTTCAGATATAAATTTTCCTAACTTCCCTGAAGTAAAACTTTAATAAAAAAAACTGTGCATGATCCAAAAGTATTTGACACTGCTTGTTTTCACAAAGAAGTATTCCAGTATTTCTCTTCTATTTACAACTGGAGCATACCTGTATTTTCAGTTTTTATCCCACCATACCAGTGGGATGAAGAGGTCACACTTAAATCTTTACAGCCCTTGACACTTTACTGTGCAGTAAGAATGTGGCGATAGATTTCTCAAACACGTCATGGCAGAATAGTTTCTCAGGCCCTCCTCTCCTCCATATAGCTGATTCTTTGCAACAAGGGAGAAAGGAAGCAAGTCCACCTTTCATGGCATGTAACATGTGGTTTCAAATCAGACACACAGAGATAAGAGAAGGAAATATAAGAAGTAAAGATGCAGTTTGACACCTTTCTGATTGCCAAAATATAAAAGGTCAGAGAGTAAGCAGTTCTCCACTGAACTGTTAAATCTATTAGTGTACACCAGGGGTGTCAAACTCAATTAAAACACAGGCCATTTGGTGCAACAGGCAACATTCACGCGGGCCACATCACATTTATAAATTTTGTTAAATTTATATTCTGAAGTGAGGATTCAGGAATATGGATAAGATAATTAAAACACTATGTAATTGCTTTTATTTTAACATTTATTTTATTTAATGTATTTATAAAACTAAAATTATTCTTTTTTACCCGAGTGCTCTTTTTAACCTTTTCGCTATTGGGATCTGTTTACATTACGTGACACTGAGAGTGGCAGACATATCACTTCCAAACTTCGCCGGAACTGAGTCAGCGTGTTTATACACGCCCACAGGCCCCCAGGAAAGGCACTGGGCCACGTGTATACTCATCTTCAGTAGTTAAAGGGTTAACGAGGGAATTGTGTGTACAGTATTGCCTCGATCTCCCCTAAGCGCTATTTTCTTCATAACAATTTTTTCTATTTTCATTTTATTTCAGAGCATCGTGGGCCACAAAAAATTACTTCGAGGGCCGCATGTGGCCCACGGGCCGCCAGTTTGACACCCCTGGTGTACACTAAAAGCTTGAATGTTTATTCCACAAATGCTTGCTTGGGATGAAAGTTTCTATTTAATTAACACTTTTTTTGGCGGGGTTGGGTAATATTAATTTATCTTGTAATATGTAGTGAATTTAAGGAAACTTATGCCTTTACATGCTAAAATTAAAGATAATTCAATTTATGAATAAATTAATTCCACAGATTACATAAGGGAGCATACACTGCCTCTTCTAACCAAATGTTAATGTGCAACAATAACTACAGTAAGAGTGACAATTTTCTTTTAATTTACTTACCAGCTTTATATGCTATTGAATTAGAAGCAGGTACAGACTTCTTATAACATAGAAACACACTGGAACCCCACTGTAAAATATAAATTAGGTTTAAAAAAGACAAAAGAGTGAAAAAAATTCCTTTTACTGAATGTTTTCTAAAGATTCTCATTTATTCAGGAAAGTCTATTTAAAACATGTTTATCAAACAGACTACATAGTATAAAACAGAGCAAAGCATGAAGCTGAGGACACTAAAAGAGTTAAAAAACATTGCCACAAATATCAAACTGGCACGAAGGCAGTTTCAAACAGCTTAGAATTCTACAATCATCCACCACTGCCTATATTTGAAAGAGATAGCACAACATGGAGTGGGCACTGGAGCCCAGGCTAAGAAAGACAGATCACTGGGGTGCTATGAAGTCATTACCTGCAGAGGCAAACCAGTCTTGACTAATAGCCATGGGAGCATTAGACATGTTTGCCTACACCACATTTAAGCTGATGTAAACATTTTTGATGCAAACATATTTTTCAAAATAAATCTGACCCAATAATAAACTTTAGTTTCATAAAATTATAAATCAAATGTATATGTTCAATTTTCTTCTTCATTAGAGTCCTTTTAAAAACTATGTAAAACTACAATATTTAAAATAAATACAAGGGAAGTCCCCACCTGGTCTCCCTTCAATTGTCCTTAAAAGACACCACTGAAACCCAAAAGCTTAGTGTAACAGGCAATTTTGGCATGTACAAAAAAAAAAGAAAACAAAAAATCCCTGACTTTTAAGTATCTATTTTCTGGACGAAATTATTCTAAAACAGCAGATGACTACGGATTTTTTTTAATTATTATAAATCATAAAAATTAGAAAGCATGAAAATATAAACTGAGAGTAAATTACATGCCCAATAATAAACAAAAATCCAAAAATTATCCTTTTATTAAATATGAAAATGAAAACTTTATTCTTACCATTCCACAATTTAAATTTTTGTCAACTTTGCAGAAAGTGTGAGGAGGGGTTTCTCCTTTACTGGTTACAATAACACAGATATCAGTTACAGCCAAAGAATTCTGGGGTCGAACTGGAGGAGCCCTTCGATAAGTGATAAAAATTCTTTGTGAAGTAGTTGAACTATTGTTGACATTGGCACAGCGACCATAGGGTGTGGCTTGGATCACTTCACATCCAGGAATAAGCCTTTCTTTCCCTTCATATAAAACTCTGCATGGCAGGGAGGGGAGAAATAAATAGATACGCAAACACATTTCAGGTTAAAGCTGGTTTTCTTCTTGAAAAAAAATGTTTAATCTCTATTGTTTCCAAAAGCTTAATTGCAAACCAAAACTAAAATTATTACTTTTGGAATTATAAATCTCTTAATTACTATTTTTCAATAGTCAGAATATAATTTTAAGAAGTGTAAATAGGATCAAAGAACTTGAGTTTTGGTTGCTTATTACAAGAAACATATGAAACAAGCTAAGGGCAACACCACAAACATCCCCAGCTCAATTCCCGGAAGTTTTAACAAGTATTCAGACATTTTTACAAAATTTTCCTTCATAATTCCTCTCAAAATTTTACCATTAAAAACCCTTTCTTGGGCCGGCTGAGTGGCGCGTTGGTTAAGAGCTGGCTTGGGACGCCAGCGGGTCCAGGTTCGGATCCCACATATGAGGGCCAGTGACACTGCCCTCCACAGGTAAGATGCTGAACAACAGCTCAACCTGGAGCTGGCCTGCTATGAGTTGCCGGCGACAGCGTAGGCTGCAGCCACTGCTGCAGTGGGTTGCCATGGGCTACTGTGTGTAGCCAGCAGCCAGTGTGAGTGGCCGTCCAGAAGCCGGCAACTGATCTGCCCTGCCTGAGAAGAGCACAATGATGGTGCCAGCTTGGGCCAGTGAAGCAATGTCCTCCACAACTAGACTGAAAAACAAAAGTACAGCAACTTGTCTGTTCTCCTTCCCCCAATTCCCCAGCGCTGTTTCCATCCCCCAATTCCCCAATAAAAACCTTAAAAAAAAAAAACCAAACATTTAAGTCATCATATATTAACAATTATTTATCTGAAGAGAAATATTTACCATCATGATTATCTAAAAGACAACCAAGGATAAGTAAACTACTCTAACAGAAATTAGATGTGTTAGGGAACTGCAAGATGTATATGAAAGAGCCACTTGCAACTTAGAAGCATCCTAAGTATAATTATCTACATCATCATTTTATTTTTAAGTTGTGCCCCAGAACCACAAGCAACAATTAGGACTATACGGTCCGGGAGGTTGGGGAGGAGGATATGAAAAGATAACCATTAAAGGATGGCTAACAGGGAATGCTGAGTACTAGAACGTAAGTCCCTAGCTGGTTTCCCTTCAACTGACATGGATATTATCAAAATTTTATCCTGTAGCCATCCTTCTATGGACATTTCTTCTTAAGAAAACCACAGAGAAAATTTAAAAATCTGAGAACAAATCCATTACATGTAATGAATCACTCCACTGCAAGCAATAATTTGGGTTCACAGTCATTTTAACCTCCTTTCTCCTTCTCAAAGGAAAAGCCCCTCACATTAAAGGCTAATCCAGTCACCTATGCTGTTGACATTACCCTGTAATCTGTTTCATAATTTTATTCTATCAAATATCTCCTCTTATTCCTATATTTCAGCTCTTCCTTCTCCGCTGGTTTCTTCTTTCAATATAAAGATGTTCAAAGTTATTCCCTGGCAGAAAGGGTCAAAAACAGTCCTTCACTCTGCCTCCCCTCTCCCTCCAGGTATCTTAAAAGCCATTGCTTCTGGGGAGTTTGTTAAAATACAGATTCTGATTCAGTAAGTCTGGGGCAGTGCCTGAGGTTATGAATTTCTAACATGCTCCCAGGCTCTATGGACAAGATTAAGATTGCTTTGGTCCATGGATCACACCTTAAATAGAAAGGCCCATAACTATCTTCTCTTTTCCATAAAGTCAAGCTTTCAAAAAGAAGCCTCTATTACTCCAATTGCCAATCATTTCTCAACCCTTTCTAATCTGGGTCCTGTGCCCAATGAAGTTGTATGACCACCATCCTAATTGCACTGACTTGAAGGAAAATTATAGAGGCTAAACAGGGTGGATGATACTAAAGGACTTAAATGGATGCTATATAAAGATCAAATGAGATGAGGACAAATCATCCTTTGGCTTTGGAAATCTGAACATAATGAGGACCTTGGGACAATTTCACCAGAGATCAACTGTAACAATGGAGGTGATAAGTATAACAAGTGGTGCTCAAATGCAGCAGCTCACTACCTTTCATAGTGATTATTAACAGAATAACCTGCAGCTAACTGCTTAAAAAACAAACAACTTCATGTGACAATCAGGGAAATTTGTATATATGATGCTATTAAGGAATTAATCATTTCTCAAATTGTGGTATTACTGTTACATTAAAAGAGATTCAACATAAAAATCAATTGATGTAATACATCACATTAATAGAATGAAGGATTATCTCGTGATTATCTCAACAAAATGGCATTCGACAAAATCCAACACATTTTCATGATAAAACCAGGAAAAGGAGAAACCTACCTTAACATGATAGATGGGAAAAACCCACAGCTAAATCATACTCAATGGTGAAAGTCTAAAAGCTTCCCACGTTAAGATCAGGAATAAGACAAGGATGCCTGCTTTCAGCACTGCTGCTCAACACTATACTATAAGTTCTAGTCAGAGCAATAAGATGGGGGTGAGGGGACTGGGTGTGGGGAGAACAAATAAAGCAACTGCAAAGGAAGGAGTAAAACTATCTCTATTGGCATAGGACATGATCCTATATATTTTTTAAAATCCCTAAAAACTACTGTATTTCCCCATGTATAAGACGGACCCTTTTTCGAAAAATTTGGGGTCTAAAAACTGGGTGCATCTTATACAGTGGTTGTAGATGGTTGTCAAGTCATTTAAGAAGCGTGGCATTTCAAATGCCGTAGATGGAACGGAGGATGAGGCATTATATGAAGACAGTGATTCGTCATCAGACACAGATGAGGACAAGCTAATGGCTGGGAGTTTTGACAGTGATAAGGAGTTGTATGAATTTTATGATGAATAAAACCTGAGTTCAATAACTTTATGTAATACATTTTTTTTCAAATTTCGGGCCCCAAAATTAAGGTGCATCTTATACATGGGAGCGTCTTATACATGGGGAAATACGGTACATGAAAACTATTAGAGCTAATAAATTCAGCAAAGTTGCACGGTATAAGATTAACACATAAAGTTAAAATTCAGCTGTGTTTCTATATACCAGCAATGAACAATCCAAAAAAAAATTAAGAAAATCCCAATTTATAAAAGAATCCAAAACAATGAAATACTTAGGAATAAAATTAATCAAGGAGGTAAAAGACTTGTACACTAACAGCCACAAAACATTGCTGAAAAGAATTAAAGAACACCTAACTAAATGGGAAGACATCTCATGAGATGCTCATAGGTCGGAAGATTTAATATTGTAAAGATGGCAATGCTCCCCAAATAGATCTACGGATTAAATGCAATCCCCATGAAAATTCCAACGGCATGTTTAGCATAAATGAACAAGCTGATCCCAAATACTTCCTAAGATGCTCTCAAGTATCTATATGTTTTTACTGACTGATGGTAACTGTAATAAACAGAACAGCTTAATATATGACATGTGTATATGGTAAAGTATTATAGATATTCTAAAAGCACATCTTCTTTACAGAAGAATCAATGTAGACATCTTTGGAAAAAAGATTTTCACAAATAATATTTTTCATTGGCTGTGGACTAGATACTAAATACCTCATAACAACTACACTCCTTCTAAAGTGTAAATACCCTCCTCCTGGCACTATAAACCACACAGCACAATTATATTTTTTAAAACAGGGATGCTACTTTGTTAAATAAATTTGAGGCTTCGAAAAATCTCATCACATAACCCAAGTAGCTCCTTAAAATCTACTGTCTTTTATTGTAGCTTCTTGTTCTTTTATGTTTAATTAATAAGCTTATCTGACAATTACAACAGAAATGGAATCACATTTCAGGTTCTAATACCTTGAAAGGAACTGATCCAATGATTCAAGCACAATGCAAAGAAATTCAGTAAGGGTAGACAGAGATATGTAATATCTTCTAATACTTGAACCTGAAGTAACAAACAATAACAGAACTATCAAGGATTTCAAATTTCTATTCCCATGTACCTTTAAGTTTTATTCCCTTCACTATAGCAAAAGAAAATAAGTCACCGTACCCAATGTCAGTAAGGGGTGGTTTATCTCTCCCTCTCTTATAACAGAGGAACAGTTCTGGGCTTTTCAGACTTCCATAGTTCAAGTTTGCTTGGAGAGCTGACGGAGTGGCTTCAACACAGGTGTAACCTTCAGGTACTGTTTCCCCAGCTGATTTGTTAATAACTGCAATGTCTGTAATTGGAGCTTTAGGTCCAGTTGACTTAGTATCTAAACGATTTAATTCTTGATCCAATAGAGTAGATGTGTCGGTGAGACCTGCCACGACAAAGTAGTCCGTCACTCTTGGCCCTTTGTCTTCTATCATGGCTGCTATTATATTTCCTAAAAAAAGGAAAAACAAAGAAGACATCAATTAAATAAAATACTTCATCTTGACTCACTTAAATTAAAATACTCCTGAGTTAACAGTGATCAACTAGCACACTTCCCAGTTGGATTTATAATCAAATTGTTCTCATTCTACAGAAGATGACTGTTTTGGTATCACCTTGTCAGCCTTTACCTCCTACCAAGTACAAACTTGCAGCATCAATTCATTTGTAAGGCAACTATGATCCTTTTGTGTGTCTGAGGCACTGTTAAAAATAATCTAACTGTGGGGCCAGCCGAGTGGCTCAGTTGGTTAAGAGCTCGCTCAAGAGTGCAAGCTCTGAGCAACCAGGTCACCGGTTTGATTCCCGGCCCAAGGTGAGCTGCCGCTGAGCTGCCAACAGGTGGCAGGATGGCTCAGCTAAATAAATAGATTAGATAGATATCTAGATAAATAAATCGATAAATCGATAAATAAATCAATAAAAATAATCCAGTTGTCAGAGGTGGACTATGGTGCTTTCCTTTGAGCAAAATGCACTTAATGAACAATATTTCGACCATTTAAAAAATCATTCTAAGTTACAGAATTCCTAGAGCTAAACTTCACTTTTAAACAAATGAAGTGAGTACACTGTGAATTAGTCAAAGTCTAATACACAAAAAAATGAATGTAATAGTAACCAATAAAATTAAACCAATCTCTTAACAATCCAGTTAGGAGTTTGTCCCTTATAGGTAAGAAACTTTATGTAAACTAAGTTTAGAAATACTTAAATACTTCATATGGAAACACCAGATAGAGCATAAAAAACTACAACCAAAGAAGACAAAATCATACAAAATACACATTAAGAGACATAGGTATTACATGGTAGAAACCTAGAGAACATGAACTTTGAGTTAAGATTTCTATTATCTTAAACTCAGTATCTCTAAAAATAAAATTAAGCTTTTGAGGTTTTAAATATGTCCATAGATTGTATGTGCTTTTTAAACACAACTTTACTGAGGTATAGTTTACATACAATAAAATACACATATTTAAAGTGTACAATTTGGTAAGTTTTCAAAAATGTGTACACCCATGAAATCATTACAACCATAGTGTTGATAGATAGTAAACATATCCATCAACACCCAAAATTTTCTTGTACCCCTTCATTATCCCTCCTCCCCCCACTACTACCAGAAAATGAGTGATCTGTCACTATAGATTGTTTTCTAGAATTGATATACATGGAATCATATAGTATGTATTCTTTATAGTCTGGGTTCTTTCAATCATCATAATTATTTTGAGATTCATCCATGTTGTTTACATCAAAAGTTCATTCTTTTTATTGCTGAGTAGTTCACTGTAGAATATACCACTATGTATATTTATTCACCTATATAATAGACATTTGGGTTATTTCCAGTTTGGGGCTATTAAAGCTGTCGTGAACACCCATGTACAACAAGCCTTCTAGGCATATGCTTTTATTTATCTTAGGTAAATTTCTAAGAGGGTATGGCTGGATCACCTGGTAGGTGTATGTAGTTCTAAAAATCTGCCAAATAGTTTTCCAGAGTGAGTGTACCATTTTACATTCCTGCCACAGAATATGGATTTCAATTGTTCCACATCCTCTCCAACACTCTATAAGGCCAGTATTTATAATTTAGACATTCTAACATGTCTATAATGATACTTAACTGTAGTTTTGTTTTGTTTTTTTTTTAAAGATTTTTATTTATTGGGGAATTGGGGGAAGGGGAACAGACAAGTTGCTATCCTTTTGTTCTTCAGTCTACAGGACTAGAGGACGTTGCTTCACTGGCCCAAGTTGGCACCATCACTGCGCTCTTCCCGGAGAGGCAATCAGTCGCCAGCTTCTGGACAGCCACTCACGGCGGCTGCTGGCCGCTCATGCTGGCTGCTGGCTACACGCGGTAGCCCATGGCAACCCACTGCAGCAGGGGCTGCAGCCTATGCCGTCGCCGGCGACTCACGGCAGCCCAGCTCCAGGTTGAGCTGTTGTTCAGCATCTTAGCTGTAGAGGGCAGTGTCACTGGCCCTCATATGTGGGATCCGAACCGGGGCCCTCTGGCGTCCCAAGCCAGCTCTTAACCAACGCACCACTCGGCCAGCCCCTTTTTCTAGTTTCTTAAGGTGGAAGTTGAGGTCACTGATTTGAGATCTTTCTTATTTTCTAATGTAGGTATTTAGTGCTATAAATCTACCCCCCACCCCAAAAAAATGTTTTAGTGACATCCCACAAATTCAGGTATGTTGTGTTTTCTTTTTATTCAGTTCAAAATACTTTTTAATTTCCCTTTCTTTTACCCATGGTTTCTTTAAAAGTATGTTTTTCAGGTTTCAAATTTTGTACTTGGGAATTTTGTGAGAATCTTTGGTTGTTGGTGTCTAACTTAATTACGCTGTGATCAGATAATATAATGTGTATGACTTGAATTCTTTTACATTTAGCAAAGACTAGTTTTACGACTAAGAATATGGTCTATTTTGAGAAATATACCATGTGCACTTCAGCAGAACATGTGTTCTGTTGTTGGAAAGAGGGCTCTACAAATGCTAATCAGGTCAAAGTTAATAGTATTGGTCAAGTCTACTATATCCTTGCCGATGTTCTGTCCTCTTGTTCTTCCAATTATTAAGAGAGTGGTATTGAAATCTCTGGCTATAATTGTAGATTTGTCTATTTCTCCTTTCAGTTCTATCAGTTTTTGCTTCATGTATTTTGAAGCTCTGTCATTAAGGGCATAAACATTTAGAATTATTTTGTTCTTTTGATTGACTGACCCCTTTATCATTATGAAATGACTTTGTTTATCTCTGGTAAAAATTAGTCTGTATTAACAAGAGCTTTTGAAAAAAATGAAAATATTTGTAAAAACTTAGGTATATAGTTTAACAATTAAATTTCTTTTTACAACTATAGCTAATATAATCTTTCAGAATCAATTTCATTTCACTTTACTCTTTAGAATGGCTTACATTTTAATAAATAAATGCTGTTGGCATCAACAAAATGTGATAAACTTCAACCTACAAGGTTAAATGTAGTATACATAATTCTTCTCACTATAACAAAAAGACTTTTTAAATCTTTAAAACTATCTTGTGTTCCTTGATGTTTCAAACCATGCAGAATGAATGGTGAACTTTGTTGAAGTCACAAAGAAAATACAGTTTTATCAAAATTATTGTTACATTTAAGCAATTTAAAATAGGTCCTTGGTGATTCCATTTAGAAAGCATTATCAACATCAGTTATGCTGGCTGGGTCATGAAACTATGAAACCGAAAAAGTAAGTCATTTCAGATAAAATCAGTTCATTTTTCAGAACACAAAGCAGTGTAATTCTCTACTGTTGCACCTGCCACTGAAAGTTTTGTAAAGGAGGGTTGTAAAGAAAGGTTGCAAACACAAATGCCTAAAGGGATCAGGCAGGATATAAGAGTCGTGGGAACTAGAGAATGCAGGCACCCACTACTAGTCAGATCTATCCAACTGTTGCCAAAGGACTTAGCAAAACCAGAACTTCCTTTTTGCCTTTTTAAGAGAAACCAGAAATCAGGATTTTACTGTAAATCTCCAAGTTTTAAAATATCCACAACTAATTCAAAATTCTTAACCACTAGTAAGAGCAAACAAAACACATAACCACAGTATTCTCACTGTAAAGATTAAAAGTCTAGAAAAGAACAATTTCTAAATTCCATTAAAAAAAAATCACTGACCTGGTTAAATACCTAACTTCACCATTAAAGATATGTGAGCCAATAAACCTAACTGTATATATCAAGTTGATAATATAACTATATAAAAGGGAATGAAAGAAGAACTAATCCAAGTAACTTTTGAACAATTTATTTTAACATGAAGAACTGAAAAAGAAATCTTGAGCTTTACTTAGAAGGCTTGCATTTTACAGTCGTATGGTTGTAGCAATTCTGAAATTATTCTGTATGTATTTTACAAGTATGACTTAACAATTGGAAACCAATTTTCTTGCTGTGATAAAAGGGAGATATAAATATGGAATGGGAAAAGGCAAATAAGAATCTATGTATTAGAATGGAGTTAGAGGTATCAATATGAACTCGTGATTTTAAAATACATATACTAAATGCAATGCGCTACCCTGAATTGGATCACAGAAAAGGCACATTAATGTAAAAACTAGTGAAATTAAAATAAAATCTGGATTTTAGTTAATAGCAATGTAACAATATTGATGTCTTAGTTTTGACAAATGTACTATGGTAATATAAAATGTGAGCCATAGAGGAATAAGAACTCTCTATACTACCTTTTCAACACTTCTGTAAATCTAAAATAATTCAAAAATAAAAAATTTTAAATATATGTGTGTCTTCGGATACCACATGGGCCAGTGACACTGCGCCCTCTACAGCTAAGATGGTAAACAACAGCTCGACCTGGAGCTGGGCTACCGTGAGTGGCCAGCGACAGCATGGGCTGCAGTGGGTTGCTGTGAGCCACCGTGAACAGCTGTCCAGTGGCCGGCAACCGATCTGCCCCACCCGGGAAGAGCACAATGATTACAATACCAACATGGACCAGTGAAGCAACGTCCTCCACAACTAGAGTGAAGAACCAAAGGACAGCAACTTGTCTGTTCCCCTTCCCTAATACCCCGACACTGTTCTACTCCTCCAATTCCCCAAGAAAATCTTTAACAAAAAAAAATAATTTTTTAATTAAAAAAATGTGACAACATAAAGATAACAGAAAAATCTCCCAACATTTGGAAATTAAATACACTTCTAAATAATAAGTGGTTCAAGAAGTTTAAGGAAATTACAAAATATTTTAAACTGAAAAGGAAGAAACAATATATGAAAATTTGTGGAATGTAGTTAAAGCAGTACTTTCAGGGAAATATACAGCATAAGCACTTATTAGGGAAAAAAAGCAAGGTCTCAAATTAAGAGCCTAACCTTGAATCTTAAGCTAAAAAAAGAACAGCAAAATAAACCC